CAAACATGCAGAACGCAGAGTGCAAAAGGCCATGCAAGATGAAGATGTGCAATTTTACTCTGCACTTGCTGCCAGAGCTGCCACAACTTTTCATGTTGAAGGCCTGCAGGGCATCTGGAGACAAATCAAAGCATTGCAGCCGAAGAATCTTGCCAAGCGGAGCCACCAGCACAGGGATATAGATGATGATCTACTTCGACATTTCGAACAGCTTGAAGCAGGCACAACAAAGGAGTTCGAGACGCTCAAGCATGAGTGCAAACTCCGTACACAGCAAGAACAAGAAGACTGTCCAGAATGCCTTCATCTTGCTCTCGATGAATTGCCCACTCTCGCAGAGATTGAACAATTGTGCCTAGCCCAAAAGGCCAAGAAAGCAGCGGGACCAGACGGCATCCCGCCTGACCTTTGCAAATATGGATCAGTTGCCATAGCGCCGCAGCTTCATTCTTTGATTTGCAAGTCCTTCCTGCAAGGTATTGAGCCTGCCGCCTTTAAAGGGGGCATTCTTTGCCCCATCTTTAAAGGAAAGAGCCAGATTGATGATGCAACTGGCTACCGTGGCATCATTCTTGCAGATTCATTTGCAAAGGTGGCCCACGCATGGACGAGGAAAAAACTCCTCCCGACCCTCCAGCAGCGAAAAACAATAGGACAGCTCGGTGGACTCCCGGCCCAACAAACGGTTACGGGTGTCCAAATTGTGCGCCTTCACAGTTTGGTGGGCCACAGCAAGGGCATACCAACAGCCACCCTTTTCGTCGACTTAAGGTCGGCGTTCCACCACATGCTGCGTGAATTGATTTTTGCTACGAAGAACCACCTCCTGCGTGACACGTTGGCTCTGATGCTTGATGCCAATGACTTCAACATCGAGCGTTTGCACCAACAGCTGGAGGAACTGTGCTCCATGTCCATCACTGACATGCCGACGGGACTCAGAAGGTTCTTGCATGACATCCATCAGCACACTTGGTTTTGCCTGAGGGGCAGCAAACACCAAGACCAAAATGAGTGTTCTCATACATTGCGTGGCACCAGACCTGGCAGTCCTTTGGCTGACATTGGCTTCAACCTGATGATGACGGACCTCCTGAAAGAGCTGCAAGCAGCCCTCATGGATGAGGAGGACTTCCGACAAGGAGCAGAAGCACTGGGCACCTACGTGCCGCCAATTGCTTGGATGGATGATGTTGCGATTTCGTTAGCGACAGTCACGTCACACCAATTGATCCCGCTTATTAAGCGGGCTATCGGAGCAGCCCACACTGCATTTCAGAAGAGGGGCTTATCCATGAATTTGGACTCAGGCAAAACTGAACTGGTTGTGATGTTCCGTGGCGAAGGCGCTGTCAGCTGCCGATCTCAACTCTTTGATCGTGAAGGAGCTCCGAAGCTGGTGGTAACAACAGAGTCCCATGTCATCTCAGTCAGGGTAGCAGCTTCGTATCGGCATTTGGGGGTTCGTTTTGCGATGAACCTGGACCTTGACACGGAGGTCAATGCCCGCCTAGGTGCTGCCAGGCAGGCTTTTGAGCAAATGAAACGGGCAATTTTCATGAATGTGGCAATCCCAGTCTCCTGCAGAATCTCGCTCTTTCAGAGTTTGATCCTCTCCCGACTTCTGTATGGATGTGCCATCTGGACTGAGCTATCAACAGCCTCTTACAAGAAGCTAGAAACAATGGTCATTGGCAACTACAGGAAAATCTATGGAGTGGGATATTGGTCTGATGAGCGCATGACAGATGCAGATTTTCTTCAAGGACAGGAACTCATGCCCTTCCGTCTACATCTTGCTCGACATCGACTTTGCTACCTCCAAAATGTGGCCAAGCATGGCATCACAGCCCATAAAACTTTGCTTTTGGAAGAATTTGCAACTGGCAAAGGTTGGTTGTATGAGGTCGCACAAGACCTCCAATGGATGCGTGCGTTCAAAGAACTTCCCTTTGACAGCCCTGAGACCAGACCTCAATGGATCCAAGTGTGGCAAGCTCTGCGTGAATGCCCACAATGGAAAAGCTGGGTCAGGCGTGCTGTCAAGAAACATATTGTTCAGGAGAAGATTGCGTATGACATCCGCACCTACCACAACAACATTGTTGCGGAGTTGGAACACTTCGGCATGCGCCTAGATCTGAATGAGGAATTGAAGTTGCAAATCGAGCAGCCTTTTCGTTGTGACCAGTGCCCGGCAGCCTTTGCAACGGGACAGCAACTTGCACTTCATGCATTCAGATTTCATGGAGTCAGAGCACGCGAATGCCAGTATGTTCAATCCGAAGTATGCCCAGGATGCCTCAAGACGTTTCACACATCTTTTCGAGTCAGCCAGCATCTTCGTTACAGACCCAACCAATGCTGGGAACGTGTACATGGAGTGCGCCAACCAGCAACTCCAGTCAACATTGTGCTCCCAGAGCACTTGCGAGGTGTACATCGACTACCAGCAGTCCGACGGCACCATGGTCCCTTGAGACCAACAGCACATCACCGAGAACGGCTGCGAGTACGACAAGCACTCGCCCAGTTAGAGGAAGAAGGGCAGCCAGATTTTGCTTGGTGGGACCCACGCACCGACCTTCCTCTGACCCGAAGGTGCGTCTCCAGTTTTGAAGCATGCCTCGATGAGTGGTTCGCAACCGACACACCCACAGAGGAGCACTTTCACAACCTCTTCTTCAACCTCTTTCAAGATTTAGGTGTCCCAGATTGCAGATTTTGATGCTTTGGAGGTCTTGGAAAAGGCACACCTTTCTTTGTTGGAGGACACACACATTTGGAATTTACAACGTCGCAAGCGCCAATTGCAGAGCCAGTGGGAACGACTCCAGAAAGGGGAAGTTCGCAACCCGAGACCATCCGTCCCAGCTCCGCTACCACGCAAGCCACGAGTACACCCCATCGACATGGACTATAACAACATGGCGAGGGATGAAAAGCGACGTCGTGGATGGCGCATGGCAGCGCGACCTCAACGCACAATGACCCCTGTGCAGGGTCCCTATTTCATCATCCACCTCTATGCAGGTCGACGACGTGAAGAAGATTTTCATGCGCAGATGCAAGCATTTGTGGATGCTGAACCTGGGGCCTGGAGCGCCGCCATTACAGTTATTTCCATCGATACAGCGATCAATGACAACATGGACGTGCACAGCAACCGCATTTGGACCTTCCTTTTGGGTGCCGCCAGGGCTGGGCGCATTTTAGCGCTCTTACTAGGCCCACCCTGCGAGACTTGGACAAGTGCACGGTTTGCTGAGATCGCTGATAAAGCAGGAAACATCCTGAAAGGTCCCAGACCTTTGAGAAGCGCTGAAGCCTGCTGGGGCCTGCCCGGCCTCTCTCTGGCTGAACTTGACCAAGTGGCTGTGGGCAACTGCCTACTATTGCGAGGTCTCTGGCTATGCATTCCGGTGGCCCTTTCAGGTGGGAGCGTGCTGCTGGAACACCCGGCGCCTCCTTATGAACTGGAGCGACCGGCGATTTGGCGTACCAGCATTTTTCTTCTATTGCTTCGTGACGGATGGCTGTTTAGAAGACACACATTTGCGCAAGGACGCCACGGCGCTCATGGCCGGAAACCGACCACACTCCTGCATGCGCATTGCCCCATTATTGCAGTTTTGGAGGAGAACGCAATGGCAGTTGATCTGGCTCAGCTACAACCGCTGATCGGAAGAGATGAGCAAGGATGCTTCCGAACGGCCAAGGCCAAGGAGTATCCACCGAATCTATGCAGATGTTTCGCTGCAGCATTTTGGCGACAGATCACACAGCGGTCACTCGGTGCCACTGTGGAACCCTTGGATCCTGTCGCTTTGGAATTAAGCCATCAATCGTGCTGGGTGGATCCCGCCCGTTTGATGCGCGCTGATTATCAACCGAAGCGTTGATTGTCATGAGCATGAACGCCGCGAGATTGTCTCAAAAGGCCGATGAAAAAATATAAAGTGTATATTACCCTGGATCCATGCGATACTAACTTGAAGATGGGGCGGGGATGATCCGGTGATCGGCCAGAGCACCTGTCCAATCTGTAAAATTATCCCAGTGGGACGAACAATGCGAAGTGACAGATTGGGTTTAGGGTTTGATAATTTCATTCTGTGCTTGTAATACATTGTATACCCTTCGCCTTTCCTTGTCTAGCTTAATTCCAGAGCAAACAGCCTGAAGTTGCAATCCAGCAGTCTCAAGTCGATCAACCGATCTCAGGAACTCCGCTTTGAAGCATATTGCATTAGATACCCTCTGGTAATTTAACATAGCTATTGAAAATGAACCATTTATAGTTGATTTACCTATTATGAATGGTGATTTTCCATAGCTATGTTAGTTTACCAGAGGGTACCTAGTACCTGCCATCAACGCAACACTCGATCTATAGCCCATGGGGCCATCGATATATCCTCTGTTGCTGGAGCTGACACTACCTGGGAACTGAACGGTCTGCTCACTGCCGGATGTAGCACCCTTGGCACAGCTGAACCAAGTACTCATCTGTCTTGGGTGACAGATTTCCTAGTTTTGATCTGAGAATCGTGTCATATTAAAACCAGCATAGCCTAGCCGTTTTGGGCAATGGCTGGGTGGGCTGAAATGGCTTGGACGGCTTCAAGCTGAAACTAATGGGAATAAATCAACCGCCGTCTTGCATATATAAACATATATATATATGTATACATATATATATATATATGTATTTAATAACTGCTTTAAGCTGCTCTTCAGCACATCAAGTGGTCAGCTATCTCCCAATTGGTTCTGTTATGAGCTCATAGCAATATCATCAGACTCGCTGGAAACTTCACATACTCTTGCCGGCAACCAATCATTCACCAATTCACCAGCCTTTGCCCATATTTTTATCGACAAACAAAACCCTCAAATTGCGTTGGTTTCAGCCCAATTTTGGATAAGTAACGCGTAAACTACCCAAGCCACGGCTGCTGATTTCCTGAATTCACCACACAATTTGGCGAATTTGGCACCTCCTCATCTCCACCATTGACCGTTAGGGCATTGGCAAACTGGTCCTGCGTAAGTACCGCCGACTTGTTGCAGAGCATGACAAGTTATAGTAGTTCACCAACCAGAAACAAACCCAATCTTGTCCATCATATATGGTTGGGTCTTTGTCAGGATGCTACAACACTATCATGGTTTGCCACATGATGTTAGCGTTGCACATCCTGTGAACAAACAACTCCTATAATTGCAGTATGTTTAACATATTCCTCCAACAAATGGCTGGTAAAGCCATCGGTCCTTCCAGTTTTCATGTCCTTTCTGTGTTTTTTGCCAGTTGACACCCAGTGCGCGCATGGTGCGCGAGCGGATGTCTCTGGTCGCCTCGGCTGAGGGGGAGGCAATTGTTTGGAGTTCTTAGAATTCTGGTTGAGACGACATGTCCATACAAAGGTTTAAATATTGACATTATATGACATGATCATATCTTGTTTAAAAAAAAACGAAAAATGACGTATCTTGTCAATTGAACATCTTAAGAAGAGCCATATCAGACTTTCAAGCTCTTTCATGCGGTGCGTTGCACTGCAGCAACATGTATTTTTTTGATGTTAAGTTGGGGATGCAACTTTAACCTAGTCGTACCAGTCATTGGCATTGATTTGAAGAACCTTGGCATTACTCCTGGCAGTTTTCTGCACCCAAACCATTGGTTTCCCACAGAAAAAAAAACGGTGATTACTTTGGTGTCCCCATGCAAGGTGGTGCCCCCAGTCGATAGCGTTCAGTTGGTGAACATAACTCCAATTTCACTATGGTTTTTGTTGGTGTTATATTTATAGTTAATGGGGTTTATAAACCAATTTATAACGTTTGGGGGGCACCACCTTGAAGGCTTCCCAGGAATACGGATCATTCATTGCATTCTTCGGGCTTATCCTAGCCGGTTTGCATTGCGAAAGTGCCATGTTCTCCATCGTGGGGGTTGCTACAGTTATGGCCATTAACTAGTTATAACTATAGTTTTAAATGGGATTATACATTCTATAAATGGGGTTATAAGATGTTATAAGTACTTATAACTGGTAAAGGGCCATAACTGTATCAACCAGCTGTTATTCTTGACATTTCTAGGGATTTTTATCTTACCGGTGCTTAGCAGGGAATTTCCGGGAATGATCCATAATCACTAGTAATAATCATCCCAGCAACCCCCAGCAACCCCCAGCAACCCCCAGCAACCCATCCATTCCCTACTAAGCACCAGCAAGTCATGGATGTTCCAATAAGTTTCCAATTGTTGGTTCTATATGCCACTTGAATTTCAGGATATCCCCCTGATTTACCTTTGATTTTCACATCGTATCCACATGTTGCAACGAATTGTCCGGTAGGTTAAGCTGCTTCCACTGCACACATTTGGGGGGTGCAGTTCCAGTTATAAGCAAATGTATCAAGGTAGTGTTAAAATGTGTTAAAGGGGTCATATTTTTCTGGGTTTGACCAAGGTTCTAATACAATTCTTGTTCACCCCAACTGCACCCTTTGCCGTAGAAAATCTACGGCTCTACGGCCCTTTAGGCGACTCGTCTGGGCAAGCCAGACAATACGTGGTGTGATCACGATGGTGATAACGCAACTGTCCTGTCGGCATAGAACTTGATTAGTTGGACTTGATATGGCGATGTTGATTTCGAAAACTATAAATCTGGGTAAATTATAATAATTCACAAACCTGAAATAAGGCCATTTGGGGATGATTCCCCTTAGTAACTATGGTTATAGTGAGGTCGCAGTGAGGTCGTTATAATTTACCCAGATAAATGGGGATAAATCACCATATCAAAACTGGGATAAACCACCAATGAATGAATCATGGATGTGACTTGGTGATTTTTGGGGGAATATGATCCCCATATTTCTTCAGACAAATTATATATACTTGGATCATCCATGTATCCTCCCGCAAAGATGGCAAAAATCATCCAGAAACAAAAATATGGTGTAACTTTATGGTTAGTATAGGTGGTAACCACTAGTAGTTAGCTAACAGTAGTTTATATCACTGGGATATAAGAATCATAACTGGTTAATAATTGTGATTTCAAAATTGGGGATTAATGAGGATCAATGGTTAATATTAATGGTTATTATATGGTTAATTTATGGTTAATAATAATATGGTTGTTGGTATACCTACCCCTCTGAAAGATATGAGTTAGTCAATTGGGATGATGACATTCCCAATATATGGAAAAATAAAACATGTTCCAAACCACCAACCAGATGTAATTTGCATTTTCATTGCCAGGCTAAATATGCAGTTTGCTGTAGAGGTGTTCGTAAAATCCACATTTTTGGCAGGAATAGACCAGTTGAACAAATGGCCATGTATAAGGTAATGTAGGTTTTGTCAGACAGACAACTAACATCAACGTTCGCGTTGTATAGAGGATACACAAAGTCAGATACCACGTTGTGTTTGGATGTACGCCATCGCGGGTCGTTGGGGGAAGCCCAGACAAATCACTGCTTCAAAAGAGCAAATGAGGAACAGTTACTGATTGGTGGTTTCTCCCCCTCTGAAATATGAAAGTCAGTTGGGATGATTATTACCAATATATATATATATATATAACAATAAAACATGTTCCAAACCACCAACCAGTCATGCATTCACATTCAAATCCACGAGGCTGTCTGCCACTTTCCTGTGGGGTAAACGGATTATGTTCCCTGGGTCCCATGCCGGCCTCCCCACCATCGGTGTCTGGATCAAACTTGGCACCACCCGTGGCATCATAGAGGATGAGTCGAAAATCCTGCTTCGATGATGGGGGATGGAGCTGGGGCTCCAGGCTTACCATTTATGGCTGGTTGAAGGGAAAATCTGACCACCAGAAACCATGGATTTTTTACCATACAAAATGGGGCTCAAACCGGTTAAAATTATCCCTTAAACCAATCCATTGATACCATTGATGGGATTCCTTATAGTGGCCATTGTCAATTCCTGATAATAGGAGATGATCTGAGATTACCATGTGAAAATTGACAATTGTTTGATCCTGGCTCAGATGAAGTTTTGAAGTTAAGATTTCTGGTGGATATATGACATAGGAATGTGCTGGTTGTGCTTGGAGACGGAGAGGTCCTTTCCGCCATATTTCTGCAGATCTTCTTCTCCGGAGATGTTCATGTTTTATTTTGTGAATGCTGACGAACCCCTGTGCATAGGTGTTTTTTTTCATAGTGGGAGCATAGAGAACCACCAAATCTTCGTTCACAATTTACAGGAAGTATTATATGAGGAAATCAAGATGTACATTACATATAGTCTAACTTATCTATGGTTTGTATTCACTGTGAATTTATTGACCTCGATTCACCAACTATCAACTGTTCATTGAGTGTAGAATTTTAGCACTTTGGCCTTTCATACAACAACCAAATGACCGGGGGATGGCAACACAAAATCATCCATTTATAGAGGATTCCCCTGATTTCCCACAAACAACTTGGAAATGTCCATTGCCATGTTAGATTGCCGGGGGGTATCTGTCAGAGGAGAGTTGATGGAGTGATAAACCAAGCCCAGCAGTGCCTTCTTGAAATAATAGAGTTTATATTGCTCTACTAGCTCTACCATCTACCAACTGACAGGGTCTATACCTGACTCGCAACGACTAAGAACTATTTAAGAATCCCAAAGCTTTGCTTTTTTATGGCTGAATGGCCAGCATAGCTGCGAGGGCAATAACTGGAGAATGGTGATGAGAATGGTGATGCGAAGAAGACATCTGGGTCATCACATGTTGCATGGGTCCTCGAGGACTCCTACTTGGTGGTTTCCACCAATCTTTCTTAACCTAAGCAGCTCCGACAGAGCACTGTAGCTGGAGCTGTCTCGTTGGAAACCTATTCCATCCCACGATTCAACACTTCAATTTCTCTATTATTTGATATTATTTGATGGTTTACTTATAGTCAAGGGAAAAAACACATACAGTATGTATCTGTCTATATATATATATATGCATGTATTGTAATACGTATTTATTAATACATGTATTTATATTTAATTATATATCATAAGATGAAAATCATGATATTCAATGGCCAACAATTGCGACACTGTGGATTCCATTGAAACAAGCAACAACTTCCCGGTGCAAAAACCGCGCTCCTCCTTGTGATCATAACAGCAAGACTCCAGGATCGTCACGGCCACCTGACGCAGGGGATACCCAAACTCGGTGTCACTGGCGCATGTGACCTCCCCCAAAAAATCTGGAGGTTTATAGCTGAGAGAATCCTCTAAACATCTAGGTTGGAATAGGACTAATGACTAATCATCTATAAAATCTATAAATGGAGGTCTAAAGGGCCGTTCTATAAAAATCATCTATAAATGAAGATCATCTCAACAAATGGTCTAAAGGGCCGTTCTTTAAAAATTGGAGCTCTGTATGTGGTCCCCCGAGTCTCGGGGAGATCAACATCTCTGCAGGGTGCAACAAACCTTTAAATTGCACATGTTAATTATGCATCAACGTTGCATATAGATATCATTCTGAAATAGGTTCACATTTCAAACATATTCTATTTCTATGCGATTGTTGTTTCTTTCTTCTATATGTACATATATTCTCTAATCTACTCCAGGAAAATCACACACACACACACAAAACACGCAGACTGGCGTCATGCGCCGCCTCTGCCGTCATCTCGTCCTGTGCAAAAGTCAGCTCCCCTTCGGCCCGTTCATAGTCGCGGCCTGACATTGATCGTGATCGATGGCTTGGTTCGCTGATGTTTGATGCTTGTTTGGGAACATCTACAGTAATTAACCCTCGCAGAAAAACATGGAAAAAGTAGACCACGTTTCAATTAGAGTAATTAGTAAGTATCGAATTTCATAGGATTTTATTCTTCTATCTTTTTTATGGTTTCCACAATCATGGTTATTGCATGTTATCACCGCCATGTGGATCAACACCTTGGTTCCCTGCATCAAAATAGCTAGGATCTATGGATTTCGAGTAGACTCAGCAGTTTTTGCCTTCAAACAATTCAATTGGGATACGATGCTGAAGATGTCAAGAAATGGTGATGATGTTTTCACAAAGAAAACACAAATACGGCCATAGCCAAACAAAGCCAGGGAAAGGACTGCTAAAAATGAAAGGGGAAATCATGTTCATAAATCAACCAGATTTGCCAGAACATGCCCATTGTATTCCACAGAAACTTTGACATCGAAAACATCCCTATGTCAGCCTATGTCCATCACCCCTTTCTTCCAGGATTAAGAAGGGGCCGGAGGAACCGATCAAAGGAAGTGGATGCTGGGGTGAGTCACCAAATCATCCACAAAAAAAATGCTCATATTTCTATACATATCCCTACAATATGTGGTAAACCCAATAATAAAATATAATAAACCATCCCAAGATCACCATTCCTATGGATAAACCATTCCTACATGGTAGGTTTATGGCATTGATCCACCCAACCCGTGGCCAAACGCACCTTCCACTGCGCTTCCATCCTGTTTGAGCCCGTTTGACAGTCGAATGTGATTTCAACAGCGTTTTCAAAACACCAAGGAGGGGTAAACATGGTGATTTGTATTTCCATATGCCTCCTACATTTCAATACATTTCACCATTTTCAGTGGTAAATCTTGGCAAATATACATAATATACCATGCGTGGAGCATATGGGAAAGGATTGAACCTCAAACCGTGAGAAATAAGACAATGAAAACAACAAACACTTTTGGATTAGGGATAAAAGCGTCAAGAAGTATGCTTTCGCCAAAATGCTTCAGTTGTTTCCAGATGGACCTTCAAAACCCCAACAAAATGATCCGAAAAGTGAAAAAAAATGGGTCAAAGATCCAGCTACTGGGAGCCTCCGTGACGTACTTGCAGTAGACAGGTCCGATGCCATCTTTCCGCCTGAAAAAATACGGGAGATGGCTGAAAGAACCAAAGGACAAACACATCGAATCGGGGGAGCGCTGGGATTGTTGCTTCTCATGGCTACCCTCTGGTAATTTAACATAGCTATGGAAAATCACCATTGTTAATGGGTAGATCCACTATAAATGGCCATTTTCAATAGCTATGTTAGTTTACCAGAGGGTATTACTCATTTGCATTTGCATCATCAGCAACAACGGAATCATCATCAACGAATCAACGTCACAATTGATGCTGAATATGTTCCCTGTTGCTTTTTTGGTTGGGATTTCTTTGGACCTCTCCCGTCTGCTGCCTTAGCAGAGCTCCCACCGGATCCAATAGGCTATAATTCACATGTATTTTGGTTTGACACATTTTAGCAGTGAAACAACAAAAAACCAAAGAACAAAATAGACCTGACATCCAAACAACATCTATCTAGCTAAGTGCATGAGGATCTCCCCAAAAACAATGTCCCGCTATTCGAAACTGGCATGTATAGAAACCTATTTCACTAGCATAGCACCATACTGAGTAGAATCTTCAGAAAACTGTTTGAGCCATGCGAATATTCTACCCCACTATACTACTTGGTTGATAAGTATCCCTGTTGTGGGTAGTAAGAATCCTCCCAAACAAAGCAGATAGTAAAACTTTTTTTTGACCAATCAACCAGGGTATTTTTATATGTTCTTCATGTTTGATGGGCGGCTAATGGGCGCCCATCAGTGCACACCTGCCTCACTGTGATGTGCAGCACTTGCTCTTCTTTGTTACCTTCTTCCGACTTTGCCTGATCGAAACCAGCATGCCATCGCCAACAGACATGGGACCGGTCAGGTGGGAAATAACAGCAGCAAACATGAGACATACACCCCTCATTCAAAATACAAGCTGCGAAACTGTGAGATTGACCCCCAAACATGGAAAAATACACGTAGCAGTAACTGGAAATTCCACCAACAAAGATATGATAAGATGTGTATTCTTGCCAGTTGCAGATGGACATCAAGGAGATCATGGGAATTGCAACTACAATGACTCTCAGAATCCCAGGGGAACCATGTCCATGAGAAACTAACAAAGAAACTCTGAGTTGACTCTTTAACAAGTGGTTTATAAACCCCATGAAAACTAGTTCGATATATCACTGTATCACCAACAAAAGCCATAGTGAGTTATTGGAGTTATGTTCACCACCTGAACGCTATCATACATCAGCTATAAATCCCATGAACAACCCACATTTTCCGATGGTTTCCTATGGTCTAACGGGGGCACCACACCTTGCCACTGGCAGTGTCAGTTAAAAAATCTGAGTCCCGTCTTCACAAGGCCATCAGCTCATGGAGGCCAAGTGTCCATTCTACCCGACGCAAAAAATTGGGCACTTCGTAGTTTTTCGAGAGCAACCAATTGCCATACCAAAACCACTGTAGTTGGAAAAATACCATCATTTAGCCGTTGGTTCTTTAGTTTTTCAACGGTTCTCGTGGAAACCCTAGAAAGCAACCTGTTGCCGCATCGGGACAAGAGGTGATCTATGGTGATCCCTTCCAAATGTTCAAGATCAATCCATCAATGATCCATCAATCAAGGGCTTTTGGTTTAAGGATTTATCTTCCTGAAGGAAACTAAGAAAATAACATGTTTTTTGTTTGATTTTATATCCAGGTCCATATATATATATGCATGTATGTACAGCATATGCAGCAGTTGTTTCCTGCACATGTTCTTCACTATTCAAGCAGTACTGGGATTTACATCAAGCTGACAATGCATCCCAGCTACAAATATCGTTGGCTACAATCTAATGTCTACCGACAATGATATCAACATCATTCAACATCATTCAACATAATTCAACATCATTCAACATCATTGTTTATAGGAACATCATTGAAAACACGGGTGGAAGAATCGTCATTAATCCTTGAATCTATTCATGTTTATTCCGCCTGTTCTTCTTGGCATCCCATTTCTCTTGCTCATGACATGGCTGTAACTCAAATGATAACCTGCAAGAAATGAATGCTGTCTCAGAGGGAAACAAACCATTTGTTCGTCAATCTAAATGGCTGAAACATACCATGTGGGCCTTCCAGGTTTAAATTGGTTTATAAACACCATTCACTATAGTTACTATATGTTATAAGTGTATTAAGAAAAGTATCATAAACCATACAAGGTGGTGCCCCCCAAACGTTATAAATTGGTTCATACACCCCAGTGACTATAGATATATCACCTATAAACCATAGTTATTAGAGTTATGTTCACCAACTTAGCTATCTTGGTGGCACCACCTTGTAGTTTATTGGAGTTATGTGGCCCCCAACTTGGCCATCGTAAGCGGGGGCCCCACATCGTAGACACAGAAACATAGCCATGCAACAAGAAAAACACCTCAATTGATTGACCCAATATATATTGTATAAAGCATATAATCATATATAGTGTATATATATAGTCTATAAAATAGTTATTGATAATATTTATTATACATATATATATATATATTATATGGTATATAATGTATATTTTCTTATATAATATAGTATATAGAGTATATGTATAATATATATATATAGTATATACACAGTATTGTATATATATATATACATCTACATTGGAACAAGCCATGCAAGACCTAAATGCTTCGACAAAATAAACATCTTTCCGCCTCATGGACCGGGATGCAATCCTCATCTGTGTAAATCACAGAGGGCACATCCGTGTCAACGATCATGACCCTGAGCACGGTGTAACTTGGTGGTTAGTATAGGTGGTAACCACTAGTAGTTAGCTAATAGTAGTTTATATCACTGGGAATTAAGAATCATAACTGGTTGGTGGTTGGCCTACCCCTCTGAAACATATGAGTTAGTCAGTTGGGGTTATTATTCCCAACTGAATGGACAAAATAAACCATGTTCCAAACCACCAACCAGACGGTGTATCTTCGACTTAAAGAAACCGACGAAGAAGACTCCCATGTGAGACCTTGGGATGTGTACTCCAGAAATAACAAAGCTATACAGTATATTGCAATGTTTTTTTCTATTTCTGCAACATGCATGTGTCATAGAAGTGACTTAAATGTGTGTGTGTGTGTGCCGACCCCTGAATCAAAGGGAATGTTATGTTGATTAGTTCAGTTCAGACTACATGTTCTAGATAGCTGGCACGAAGAAACCCACTGCACCGTGAGGCATCTTGCGAAATCGCGGAGAGTGGTTCGACCGTAGATTTACGAACTTGCAAGTGTATCGAAAAACATCATAACAGCTGAGCATGTTCAACCCACTGCGCAGCAGTCTTTGCATGTATGTTAGTATAAGATCCGAAAGGTCAGTGCCCAGCATTGCCTTGGTGACTTGGTAAGTTTGATGATTGTCCTATCACGCGCCACCAGCATGTTTCTTCCTCAATCCGTGGATTTGCGTGTCTTGTGAGTGAGTGTATGTGCTGAACCCTGAATCAAAGAGAATGTTCTGGTGATTAGTTCGGTTGGGACCACATGTTCAAGGTAACTAGCGCGAAGAAGTCCATGTTGCATATAAGTTCCAATCCGACACATCTGTGCATCTTCAGGCGTGCAGCACATGGGTTTCGATCGTTCGTTTTGAATTAGTATACCAACGAGCAGGGGCATTGGGCACTCCTTGGCAAACCCAATGCAATGAAGCTATGCCTTGGAGTGGGATGCACGGTCTGATCAGCCGTGTGTACCTGCAGTAATCTCAGTATGGCAACTGGGCAAAGCCAAAAACCCAGCATGAGGAAACATGAATTCTCATTTCATCTCACTTCATCGTCTCCCTTCGGGGTGTTTCTAAGTGTGTAGTGCTTTTCACGCACCTGGATTTCTGATACAGTGCCAGGGAAGCTTGGCGGTGCGCCCGCTGGGGATACCAGATTTTGTTCAGAGTTACACCGCGCCGGTTGATCCAACGGAATTCGGTTCAAAGGTGTTCGCACCTTATCATGCTACAGAAGTAGATCTTGCACCATGCGTCAAACCACTGCACAGATTCACTCTTCAGAACCAGATTTGATACCAGATCTTCGAAGCCAGATTTTTCCATCAGATTCCTCCTCAGAGTTTTCATTTCAGAATTCCTCGTGTCATTCCCCCTAACAAGCTTCAACCACAGTATTGTTTCATTTGATTCCGCAGTTGAGTTTCACCAGTGGGCAAGTAGCCGCGTTTGCGCTTACCTCATGGAGCATATGCCGTCGTCAGCAGACTGGATGTATCGACACATGTTCGGGACACCACCGTGGACACCAAACACACAGACACCACCAACAAATTCATACCCAACTCCTCAGCAAAGATTATCAACAACATCTCAGCTGACCATGCCAACAACATCCACAGCAGCGCCATTTGCCATAAGCTCAACATTTCCAGTTTCAGTTCCAGCAGCACAGCAGCAGCTCTATACACCAACACCTACTAGCCCGGCACATATGCACATGATTCCAGCCACAGCATCCCCAGCACCTTTTCCAGCTTACCAACCACCATTGCCAGCAGCAGCTCCTGCTACATTGTTTGGAAAAAAAAGCAAAAACTATCCAGACTTCCTGACTGGCTCCCTTTTTGACTATGGACAGCACACATCGCCAGCACATCAACACACAGCAAAACCCAGCCACACAGACAATATCTTACCATCACTAGCCACACAGCCACCTGTTCATTCTACATGCGCTCAACCTCAACGAGTGGAACAACATTCACCACATCACGCCAGCCGGCGACGCAAGCGCTCAAATACTCCACGATCTAGGCGTGGGAGCCGAAGAAGAAGTCGAAGCACACGGCGTCAACATCGCCGACAATATCACCGCAAGTCACGCAGCAGAGCAAGGGCAAAACGGTCAGAACGAAATCCCAGCACATCGTCCAGACCCAGATCCAGACACGCTAAGCATCACCATCATCAGCGTTCATCCACTCGACGACAGCAACACCAAGCACCCACGCAGTCTGGGAACATAGCAAGCCCAACACCGCAGACACCAGCACACACAATAATGCCACCACCACTGCTACTGCCACCACCACTACCACCACCACTACTACCGCCACCACCACTACCACCACCACTATTACCACCACCACTACCACCTCCGCCACCGCCACCAGCGCCACAACCGACAACGGTGCCACCACAGACATTATCAGCCCAAGTCCTACGAGTGGCAACACGAACAGCCACTTCCAACGCCATACCGGCCAGTACGGCGCCACAACCCAGGCACGGATCCACTACTACAGCAACGGCAACATCATCTAACTTAGCAATGACACCAACAACAACACAAGACCACTCCGACGACCCACTTGAAGCAGCTGTTCAACGCAATATCGACAGCAACACATCCGTACTTACACCATGGCAGCCGCCAATCAGAAACCATTACCACCCGTTCAATTACAAAGCACTTCAGCAGCGCTTGCACTCAGCAGCAGCACGTGCTCAGGAACTCACCCCCCCATCAGTGTACTTTCGTTTTTTGCAAGACAGAGATAGCAGTGTTCGTGAAATTGCTACCTTGCTTGAAACATCTTTCCCACCAGGGATTGACCTACCACAAGAACACATCATTCATACACTGTCAAAATATATTGTTACAACTGGAATGCCTATCCAAACTACGCTTGCCCGCATCACGTTCCACCAGCATGACAAATACCGAGTGTGGCAATTACACCTACGCAACATGCCACGCAGCACCTCTACAGCAATGTCGCAAGCAAGCAACTGCCAATACCATTGGGCGCACGCCACCAGTGAAACAGGCTTCTTAGGAACTTTACTGTACGGGATGGTACTACCAACATGTTCTGAAACAATGTCAGGCAGGCAATCTCAAGGCTTCTTCTGTGCAGCAACAATGGATGAGAGCACCATCGTTCAAAAAGTAGTAGACCGCTATCTCAGCGGAAAGGCACATGTTCCTTTTGTACTTGGCGGTACCTTGTGGGCAACACACAAAGCCGTCCCAAGCGGGGGCACATACACAGAGCAGGAAGAGGTCGAGACGCATGGCATCGTACATCGGGCAAGGGACAAACACCACGCTACGATAGCATCCATTCAGTCCATTTGGATTCTTGAACAACAAGCACACACAACAGAGCCACCGCAAAGTGATCTGATGCGTGAAGATGCTCCGCGGCTGACTTTACAAACCGATGTGGAAATGAGAGGTTATTAAACCTCAGCTCTTGCCCCGTAGTTTCACCAAGTGAACAAGCGACAATATGTTCGTTTTTAAACGGCAAACCAGGTTTGCAAATTCTTGTCACAACACATTTTCACCAGCTTGTTCAATACAGAGTCCATACCACACGTGAGGTGAAAAAAGGTGAAATTCGCACCATTTACGACAATAGGTTGACCTGGCTTTTGTTGTGGATTTTATGCGCGTGGTTGAGTCCTTCAACAAACATCATGTAGGATTGACACCATACTACCATCAAAGGTTTCATGATTAGTTCAGCATAGACAGAACCTATTGCTTTCATTAGTTGGTTTCAGCAGAAGTTTATAGCAGCTTGATAACGTGCAAGTGTGAGCAGAGCAACTTTGCTCACACACACCGAGCGAGTCGTCCGTGCGTTGTACAGATTATGATGTCCTTTAACCTTCAAGCAGCAGTTGCTATTGGAATGTCTTGAAAATTGAACTGTTTCTTCAGACTGAGCTAATTCGTGCTCAAGTACCGCTCCGATCGTTCTTTCATTGTACAGTCATGTCGTGGCGAAGCACCAGCAGACCGTGGAACTGGCACCAGCACCAGCATTCAGCACCGCACACACCACCACGAGCAACATACCAGCATCCTGACTCACAGTACCGACATGAACCACCAAGCCCACAAGGAACCAAACAGTTCAACCGAGACATACCAGCCAATTTCCAACCTGATGCCAACCACTTTGACACCAAGCAACAGTATGGCCTTTCCTTTCCTCGCCAAGTCACCTCAACAGCCTGGAGTCAGAAGTATCATCTAGCAGGAAGACCCATTGACTCCGTACGACTGTATGAATTGGCTTACCTTGGTTGGTCCAACTGGAGCCTTCGAGCCTTAGCCAATGGCAAATTCACATCACTTGTGTTTGCCCGCAGCATCAAAGAGTCCATTTTCTTCCACCATTTGTCCATGAAACTTCGAGATGAGCATATGGATTTAGATGACATTGCAGCAGCATATTGCCAGCAGCAAGGTATTGCGATCACCGATCCAGATCCCAATCAACTCAAAAAAGCCAAAATTCACCACCTTGTGAATTCCACAGTGGATCATTTCCGGCAATTCTCCAATACAAGCTTACAAGAAGCCCAAGACAAAATTCGACAGCTGGAAGCACAGCTAGCAGCAACCCAGACCATTTCCCAGGTACCCACTGACGAAGAGCAAGCCGCATCCCCACAACCTCACCCGCCAACCACACCTGATGAAGCACCACCGTCACCAACACCCGCACGCAAACGAAAGCCCGACACATCCAACACACAAACGGCCAAAAGATCGCGCACTTTGACGGACATGGGGATCACCAAACGGCCGGGCAACCATGACACCAAAGACACACAAAGAACACGCAAACACACAACCTCACCCACTGCCGTACCGGCAGCGGGCGCACATGATGTACCAACCAGCACTACTATTGGAGACCTTCAAGCCAAAATCACGCAACTCCCTGGCACCAATACTGTCAGGCCATTTGCCTCAGCATCGCCCAACAACAGCACGGCCAAAACCGTTGATGCCTGGATCAAAAAGCAAAGCATTCCCAAACAACACCAAGCAGCATTGCAAGAAGCTCTTGCAACACTCACCGGACTTCTCAAGAAGATCCCAAAGCCCGAGCAAAGCACCTTTGCAGACAAGGCCGCCTCACTCGGCCTGCCAGTATCAGTGGCATCGAAAGCCCGCGCGGATGAGCTCTACAAGTTGCTGCTTTTTGGGGTGACACAGCTTGAGTGACTAGATCGAGATGACCCGAAACATGTACAGTTTGCTGCCGCATGTATCGTCTTCTTCGGTTGTCTCGAACATTTTCCGCTTGATCAAAACTGTTGTTCTGTATCTGTTCGGTTGGTTCTCCGTGTTGCTGTTTCTTTCTGTGTTTTGTATTGGATTACAAATCATCCTAATCAAAATTCGTGTCGAAAATGGAACCGAAGATTCAGTCGGACACATTTGAAAGATGTCCGCACTTTTGAGGATATGCGCCAGTTGTTTCACCAATCCAATGTTGTATATATTTTGCTGCATGTTTACGGCACAGCAAAACTCAACATACACTTGTCGTCTACAGAACATTACATCGGCAGCACCATACACACATTACATGATCGACAGAACACCCGACACCGCAAGCTGAAACAATTACAAAACGGTCAACCAGTATCGTGTGAGCTTGCATTGCATTGGTTCTGTAGCCAAGGCAACTACTATCAGTTTGTACCACTCCCGTTATTAACAACCTCGTCACAACTGCAAACACGAACACTGGAAAGTTACATGATCCAGCTTTGGTGCCCACCACTCAACTATCCACTCATAATGCAACGCAAGGTCACTAAACAACATTCAACACCACACTTGCGACAAGCAATCGCCAACACATTCCTAGGACATGGCCAGCGACTGTATGCGCGACTCCGCCGCCGCATGATGTACAAGCAAGTATTCCACTTTTACAACCACAACCTGTCCAAACACACCACTGCCTGGCTTCAACTACACGTACTCGCGGAACAAAGCCAACGGTCGTTTGACATGCAAAAGTTTATCCGTTCCAACAACACACACTCAGATCACCTATTTGCACTCTACAAACTTTCGAACAACATGGAAGATCCACCAAGAACAAGAGTTCGCAGTTTGATCAAATCAGCTATTCAATTTCGACAACTACCACTACCGCCAAGTCCTAGACCACTGATACTGCCTCTACTGAGCCACAAAACATTCAGTCACCAAACACGCCACTGGCTTCGGCAGATAGCCATTCAACACAAACAATGGCTACCACCTTTTCACATTCCAAAATGCAACATTACGGCAGGAAAGCATACCACCATGCAACAAGCCCTTTTCAGCCACTTTTCCTGGATGAAGAAATTCACCTGGAACGAACCTCCACCATGTTCTTGCCAACAACTTTTTGCAAAACACCCACGGCTTACCAGCACTACAATATGTGATCAACCACATATTGCCAGTCCTGCTGCAAACCTGAATGTCCCAGCACGACTCGCAAATTTCTTAGCCACGCATGCTGGCACACAAGTGTACCCTACAAAACACCACTACTGTCAACAAACTTGGCCCAAACTACAACGCTGGCTGCAACATTACAACATTAACACAATCACGTATGCAGACTGGCAGAGTTACATTGAACAACAGTGGCCACAGCACTTGCAGCAATCCAAACAATGGATTGGGCACAGCGACATTCAATACCTCAGAAAGATTATGCAACAGTTTGTGGTTCACTGTCGCGACCATGCTGCTACAGCCATTTTTGTGTATTGTCCTTTTCTCTACTGGACAGTCCTCAAGAAAACATTTGGAGATTCATCGGTGTACACCCACCTCACTTTGACACCACCACAAGCAACACAATACCTACAACAGCTTACACATCAACCCTGGCTTCAAAAATACAAATGGGCATACAACACCAACAGCGACTGCCCAACAGCCTACATACTATTGAAGCAGAAAAAACAATTCCTTGCCGCCAGGCCCGTCATCAACTATCGTGGTTTTGTTTTTGAGAAGCTTCTCAAAGCCACAGCCATCGTTCTACAGCAGATGCTTCAAGCCTGCATGTCCAAGACGTTTGGACTACAATCACTCCAGCAAATTTTCTATACACTCCACACTTTCTTTCACAATGCACCAGCAGACCTGGACCTTGCCATTTACAACCAAGATTTGGCAGGGTTTTTTACATCCATACCAGCAGACCGCATCCTTCACGCACTTGCCAAGCTGTTGAAGCAATATCAACAACAACACCCACATGTAAATAACGACACTGTTTTCACAGTGGACATGCAACAGCCAGACACCACACTACGACTTTTTCGAGGACGGCCTCGGCGAGCTGCAATGACAAAACGACAGATCAGGTTTGGAGACATTTACAACATATGCAGTTTGTCTCTCCAGGCATCAATTTTTTCACAGCTCCAGCAAACATTTCAGCAAATTCGCGGCAGCGCAATTGGCAACCAAATCAGCCCAGTCCTGGCAAACATCACGGTCAGTCTGACCGAGCAAGATTGGCTAAACCGACCACAGGTACAACAATATCTTCACACACACTCAAACAGAATACTGATCACACGATACGTTGACAACAGGCTTGTACTCATTGACCAATCCCAACAGCACCACGCAATCATCCAACCATTCTTACAAGACACCTTTTACCAAGAACCGGTCATCCTTGAGGATGAACCAGACAATTCCTTTTTGGGCTGCACTATTGAATTACAAAAACATACATTGTCTTACATTCAACCAAACAATGCTTGGCAGTTTCAATCTTTTGGCTCTGCAGCTTCCACACAACACAAGCTCTCTGCCGCATACAGCCGCATCTGCCTAGCAGCAAGACACAGCCACCCATACAAGCAAGCACAGCATGATGTTGAGTTTTTAATTCAATCGTATGTTTCACTTGGTTATCCGTACAAGCCATTACGCGCTATGGCAGCCAGAATGTTGAGCATCCGGCGGTAAGTTTTCCACATGAATATTTCTATGATTGATGGTCTTTAATGCTTCGCTGTTCCAACACAAACAACCTATTGTTTTGTATTGCAATTAAGCAAACAAGGTGCTCACCTGAATTGGCATGAGGGGTGACATTTCAATTTACTTAGTCTGAGCAACAGGCGTGCCTAAGAGGGGTGGAAAAGCATGTGCCCATACTGGGCTTGTTGTGTGTGCCGACCCCTGAATCAAAGGGAATGTTATGTTGATTAGTTCAGTTCAGACTACATGTTCTAGATAGCTGGCACGAAGAAACCCACTGCACCGTGAGGCATCTTGCGAAATCGCGGAGAGTGGTTCGACCGTAGATTTACGAACTTGCAAGTGTATCGAAAAACATCATAACAGCTGAGCATGTTCAACCCAGTTCGCAGCAGTCTTTGCATGTATGTTAGTATAAGATCCGAAAGGTCAGTGCCCAGCATTGCCTTGGTGACCTGGTAAGTTTGATGATTGTCCTATCACGCGCCACCAGCATGTTTCTTCCTCAATCCGTGGATTTGCGTGTCTTGTGAGTGAGTGTATGTGCTGAACCCTGAATCAAAGAGAATGTTCTGGTGATTAGTTCGGTTGGGACCACATGTTCAAGGTAACTAGCGCGAAGAAGTCCATGTTGCATATAAGTTCCAATCCGACACATCTGTGCATCTTCAGGCGTGCAGCACATGGGTTTCGATCGTTCGTTTTGAATTAGCATACCAACGAGCAGGGGCATTGGGCACTCCTTGGCAAACCCAATGCAATGAAGCTATGCCTTGGAGTGGGATGCACGGTCTGATCAACCGTGTGTACCTGCAGTAATCTCAGTATGGCAACTGGGCAAAGCCAAAAACCCAGCATGAGGAAACATGAATTTTCATTTCATCTCACTTCATCGTCTCCCTTCGGGGTGTTTCTAAGTGTGTGTTGTTTACAGGAAAAAACAAAACAGGTTGTTAATGATGAAACAAACATGTGTCCAGTATTTGTTCCAACACATCAACCAAGCCAGTCACTAGGTGAACCATCCAGGCCGTGCCGAAGAGCACAGCAAATTAGCTGAGGCATTTGAGCCATAGCAAAATACTAAGCCAAATGCTAAACCACTAAACCAACAGAGAACATTCCAGGATGGATTGCAAGTCTGAATGCCTCCCCTTTCATCGTGAAATGCCTTTCTGGTCATCAAACAAAAACATGCCGAAAAACATCACCCTAATGAACCCCAGTTAACCAAACAAATGTGTCGTCAACTTCTCTCGCATAGAGCGCAGCACCGCCAAAGCCGGCACCTTGCTGTGGCGATGGGTCCCAGCGCCGCAAAGCCATCCTGGCGTGCGTTGGAAAGGTGAGGATATGCCATGTGGTGAGTCATGAACAGCAAAAAACACCGCAAAGTTGTGAAAACTTCAAGACTTGGGACCTGGGAACTTAAGCTATTAGAATCTATTAGAACTTAAGCTGGTTTTAGTTGGTTACTCGAAGACCACCTGGTACCGCGATTTCGAGATCTCGGGACGAGGCACAGGTCGCGACTTCTTACCCTGAGGTTTGCATCCAAGCAATTTCAAGACCTACCCGGCCTGGTAAACATACAAAAAACTATGGAAAATCACCATGCTATTAATGGGAAAACTCACTATTTCTATGGCCATTTTCAATAGCTATTTTGACATAACCAGAGGGTATGCCTGAAATGGATGATCAGCTTGCCGAATTGGTTGTTCTTTAGATTGCCCGTGAAGTTAGTTCATTGATGCATTGATGTTACGTGAATTCGCGAGTAACTGGGTTATATCCCCCGTATAATTCAATGAACTACCAAACTCATCTTGGGCGGACAATGTTCTTGCTCAGGCTAGAGCTGTAATAGTTCAAGCTCCTCTTGGGTCCCTAGAGTTCTGGCAAAACATCAAACAGGTGGATCAATGGCGGTTCCGTAACCCTTCAAACAAAAACAGACTTAAATTTATTCAGGAGATATGGCCAGCTTTGGAGGCCGGTCGATTATATGGCGTGATACCATGCTGAATGGTGATTGAATTCCATGAAGGTCAGACAAAAAAAGCACCCGCCAGGCGGGTCCTTTGAAGCACTCCTGGCATTGGTGAGTTCGACATAAAAGTCCTCGTTGTCCTGGTGTTGCGCTTGGCATCTTCAATGCTTGCGGATGGTTGAGGCAACCATAACATGCTTCATTCTTCAGAGGTGGGAAATAGGGGGGGAAGAGTTGGTAGATGGCCGGTGCAGATTGAATTTAAAAGACATGTCAAGGACTACGATCTGTACAAAGGAGCCATACCCTAATCATTCCCAACAGCCGACCCCACCACAAGGCCCATTGCACTCGTAGTCAGGATTGTATTCGCTACGAGTATATCTTTTTGATTATTGTGATTGTAGCCGCAGTCGTAGAGGTTCTAGAAGCCAATTTTGAGATTTTAAATTCATGATGAATATCCATATCAGAGCCGTTCTTTTGTGTGGAAAATGTGACTTCCTCGTTCTGCAGCACTGAAATCTATTCACCAACTGTTCCATTCACAAGGTTTGGCCAGACTTGATCTCCCAGTGCTGATGACTGCCACAGTCCTCAGGGATGTTGTCCTTCACGATGATGATTTCGAGGATTTTCTCGACCTGCAAGCCACTCAAAGCTTGGATATTGTTGGATCCTGAAGTCAAAACAGTCAAAACCATAATATCCCGGGGGGAGGAATTAGAAGCCTGTAGGTATATGTAGGAATCATCGCCAATTCCAATTGCTTATCTGGTTGGTTTCAACCATCTTGAAACATATGACCATCTGGTTATGACTAACATAGCCATGGAAAATCCCAACCATAAGTGGAGGTATGGGAAAATCATCTATATTTTCCATGGCTATGTTAAATAACCAGAGGGTAGTCAGTGGGAAGGATGACATCCCATATATGAAATGGAAAGTCATAAAAGTCATGTTCCAAACCACCAACCAGTAAATAATAATCCTCCCAGGAGCTGATAACTGATGATAACCCTGCCGGAGTTCACAACCTGGACCTTCGATTTGTGTTCAAATGGATTGCTTCAGGAATACCTCGAAGCGCTGCACCCTTGAATGATCCGGGTGAAACTATACACATCCATACACATTGTGGAGTAGATAGGTACAACATAAATTTTCCTTCCCAAAATGCGAAGATAAGCACAACAAGTCTAAGTGTATATATATATACTGGTTGGTTGTTTTAACCATCTTGAAAAATATGATTTCGTCAATGGGAAGAATGACATCCCATATATGAAATGGAACATAATCCAAATGTTCCAAACCAACAACCAATATATATGTATGTATATATATATGATCCCTGTTGCCATTCCCTGGGTGGGGTCGCAGTGGACCATTTTGTAGTGGTCTAGCCTTTGGCTCTACAAAATGGTTGTGGTACACAGTTTCCATCCTACAAAAGGATTAATGTCAACCCTGGATTAATAAAGCCCTAGATTGTTTAATTGGGAGGGTACCATTTAAGTATCATATTATGACTATTGGAGGGGTACCCCCCTAATTAATAAACCATGGTTGATTAATCCGGGGTTGACATTATATATGTATATACATGGCAGTGTGTCAAAACCTTGTACCCCTTTTGTTCACATCAAAATAGCTGGGATTTATGGATGTTCATTCCCGTAAAAATGGTATTAATAGGTATTGATCCATACCCACATGTTGACATTATATATGTTTTTTTGGGGGTTAACTATCATTTGATTGGTATTCTATCATTAATATACATGTTATTATCAGTATTGCTATTTTTAATATACATGTTTGTGAAATTCTATCATTTGATTTGTCATCACGGGGGGATTTTTGATCCATGGCCCAACTATGTCCAACTCACTTGTCCATCGCCTCATCAGGGAGGAAGGTCAACGTGCCTTCGATCGCCTGGCGCGTTTGTGCTCGGTGTGTAGATAACTTGGCGAGGCGCCCCAAATAGGACAAAAAGACATAAGGACACCTGGAAAATCATGGAAATATGGTAATCAATGGTACTTAAATCCGGAAATGATATATTGCAATCAATGGAGAGGTGCTTTAAGGTAGCAACTGTCTCGAATGATGGTGTAGAAGAGGGCGGGACTGTAACAAATTGCTGTTTAGGGAATTTGGGGTTTGAACCTCCGGGTTTTCCCAAAATTATATTGGATCATATTGGCACGAAAGGGAACTGATTTGGATGTCATCCTCACAATTAATGTGGGTAGGAAAAACTGCTTACCAGCTCAGTGAGAATGATCAACAAACATGGAACAGGTATTGCGCATGTCACGGGAAGTTAAGGGGATTTTTCGAACATATTAGACCAGATTTTTGTGAATATCAGGTGAGATACTGCCAACCAAAAAAACGGACATGCTACAAGAAGCGCGTTCACAATCAGTGAACCTTGAAGGAACCCTTGGCTGATGTGACCCTTGGCTGATGAGGGAGTCTAGTGATCACCACCTTATGGAAGAAAAAGCCTCAGGTTGTGAACTGGACCATACTGAACCCGTTAAACACCCACATCTAACGCTCAAACCCCTCAATTCACTCCAAAAATACGATGAACTGGTGCAAGAAACACAGGCCTCTTCAAAATTTTACGGAACAAACACCATGGTCCCCTTATAAACAAAAGGAGAGATCAAATACGGTCGTCGCAATCCAAGACCAAGGCATCCGGATTCCCAAACAATCCTCGGTAATGTCTGTGAGCAAAACAGTGTAACAAAAACAGTAAAAGCAATTATGATAAGATCAGCCTTTGCAGATCACAGTCTACTAAGGCCACACCAAACATATATGTGTATATATATATAAACCTCTTGTTGAAAAGAAATGATATGTAATGTGTATGTTTCTACCCATCACATGTTCGTATGAAACAGGCTTGCCATGGTTAAGCATATAAAATCTCTATGGGTTACAGCCTTCCAGCAATCAAGCATGCCATTTGGAAATCTACATTCAACATGCGAGGGAATGAATTATTAAGACTATCACTGACTATATGGTTGACGCTTAACTCCGCATATCACACTTAAATCATCTATTGATCCGAATTAAGTAGTATTAAGTCCTATCCTATCCATATCTAAAAAGTTCACCCTGAACAAGTTTCACGTAACGAACCCTCGTGCCCGTTGTTTTGGCGCCGACACCTCGTAGTCTTCCACGTTCTTGGCGAGGCCATCGTAGCAATGATAGTCCACCATGGCAGTCAGGGACAAGTTGCCCGTGCGACAGACAGGGAGGCGAATGATTCCCACCTGGGGGAACTGGTGCTGTGGGGAAAGCTACAGGAAAGCAGGGGTTTATAGGGGTAGCAGTCAGAAAATACCGGAAGTCAACTTTGAAGAAAGTGTGCTCAAAGAACTTATTGTTCAATGCAATGTCCATACAGCATGTCGAATCAATTCCATAGACTGTACGCACGTCGGGATGCTTACTGGCGGCAACCAAAGACACCAGCAGTGGGTTGTATCACTTCTTGTCATTGCATTCTTGTTGCATGTCATCATCACCTGGATTCCATCTCCACATGTTTCCATCATGTTTCTGGGTGAATTACGATACTTCACCAACCTGACATCAGATATCATTTTGGGATGGTTTCCCTAATCAATCCTACCCATCAAAGATATCTGCGACCCTGGCGACCCTGGCAGCCGTTCGGAACTGCCCCATCTTCCCAACCACGTCGCAGTTTCGGAAAAGTCACTGTTTCGAGCACTGCGAAGTTCCGCGCGCCGAAGAGAACCAAGGATTGTGGCATAGGAGGAGGAGGAGGACCAGTGTCTGCAGCGGCAAAATGATTTTTGGAAATCCCTGATGAAAATACACCGAAGTTTTGTTTGGGGGCACCAATAGATCAATTTGTAGATGAATTTAAACCAATTGCATGGAATAGATCCAGTTTCATTTGGAGGCTATTTGATAGTGAACAGAATTAGTAGTCACAAAGGGCTGGCGGTTTGCTATCTTTGTTCTGCTAACAGTTCACAATTTCAAGTGAAATGTAGCATCATGCTGCTCAATTCTCAAACTACAAATCTACAGCTGGCCATAGTGTTTGAGTGTTTGAGCCACCATAAAAATAGAGGGGACTGCAAACATCTTTAAAAGGAAAAACTTGGTGGTGTTCTGATCCTTTGCTAAAAGTTCACTACCTAGTGGGACATATTAACATAATTTAACATAGGATCATATGGTGTTTACCAATAGATTGCCCCAATCAAAAAACGAATCAAAAGTCAACGGCCCCAATCCATCCAAACCAGCTTTCACAGGTGGCTCCTCCATGGATAAACCATGGGGATGGGGATTCAATCTGACGCTGGAGAGATCACTGTCTTTGATTCCAGGAATGAGCAACTGATGAGCAAATCATAGTGATAGGGCCATGACGGACTTACCCTGGGGCCTGGGAGATATATTCACTATGCAAACTACGACCTTACAAAGTGGGGTGATGTTTTGCCCAAGTGCCCAAGCCCAACAAAAACAGATACCCGGTGATCATACGTGATAATGGAAAATCACCCAATTATAGATGATTTTCCCAATGAATTAAAATTACCTATGTAAAGGGATGTTCAATTTCCACGTTTGATCACCGGAGGTAAACATCTTCAGATCTCGTAGTGCAAACATGTGCAAACCTCGAAAAAACTCCTGTACCTCCTGCAAAGGTTGAAGCGACAGTTCGAACAGGTCTTTGAGACCAGTGATACATGAGGTTTGGGGTCCCGAAAAGATAGAAAAGGAATGGTAAAGCACAGGAAAACCATAGGAAACCCCAGGAAAACTGGTAACACCCCAAAATTTGATGGATCATCAGTTGATCATCATTTCCAGGATGTTCTGGATGATGTTGCCCCATCATGAATCATACAACTTCCGGGTTTCCAACTGTTCTATCTATTTGCAGGTTGCTATATCCCAAGATTCAACAAGTTTGGCCAGGTCAAGTTAGTAAAGGGTGGACCCCCTTGTTTACATGCCATGTTCACACACAAAAATAGTTCTAGTATGTTAGTTGTATAATGTTGTATATTATACATATACAACCAACATGGACTTCCCGCCGATGTTAAGTCTTCAGTCTACATCTAAGTTTCACAAAGAAACAAAATCATATATGAGCACACTGTGGATGGGCCAGCGAAATCCGATTTGCACCACCAATTTGGGATGGTTGAAACATGATTGAAACCCTATAAATAATTAGGGATGTTAACCATCTAACAACAGTATCACGACATATTTAATGGGAGCTCACGACCGAGCTCACGACCGCCTGGTGGAGGGGGATCATCCACAGGCACCACGGCTGAAAAGTTCTGATTCCTGACGCCATTGGCCAATGAAAATTAAGTCAGATCCCGGGAAGTTCTAATCGATTGCGTCGCGAAAAAATTAGTGTGGATGAATTGTGCGACATCTAGATTGGTACTTTTGAGTTACTGACCTTAAGTAACATATATGAGGATTTGCAGTGCAAAAAAAGGTGTTGGTCCTTAAACGTCAGGGATTTCATCAGCTAGCGTTATAGATGTACGCCCCCACTACGGGGCCCATGGCCAGTGGATCATGGACTGATTCATCTATCCGATTCCCGAAGATAGCTACAGGGGATTTTGGAAATTCACCCCACCAGCTCTGCTAATCTAACATAGCTATGGAAAACACACATAGCTACAGGATTCTGTTTTCGGACTTGACATGACTTTGGGCCTTCTCGAGAGTAGTTAGTGGCCAACGTGCGTAACATTTCCGCATTGGGAACTGACATGGTAAACCCAACAAACCATCCCAGCAACCAATGGGGGAATGACGTGCCAGGCCCTCTTCGAGAAATTGGAAGCCCCAAAAACAACCCAAAAAATCAAAAGGTTCAAGATGCTAAATTTCACAAACCCCGTTCTTTATTGGGAGCCCTGTACTTTATTTGCTGGATATACCACCAGAATATTTACACAATTTTTCCAGGCTTCCATTGGCCCTGGTCACGTTTCATTCGTTGCCCTGGAAAACGCGTATCTCATTGCAAACACGGAGGCTGGGACAAGGCGTGCAGCATATCGAAATCACTGCAGGTCACATGCTGAAAGTGACTTATGCCAAATTCCCATCAGGTTCAAGCCACTGCACGAGTCAGTGGGCAACTGACAAAACAAACCAGCACTTGAACATTTTTTGATGATGGACAATGAGATACAGGCGTCCAAGGCACCCATGGTGCGTGCATAGTGAAGAGGTTTTGTGAAAAAACACACACACAAATATGGCCTCAATGCAGGGATCAATGCTGGCTATGGCTGTGAGCGCGCGGAACCACCTACTCCAGTGCGGGCCTGCGATCTTCAGGGCCGGTGATCCAGTGACCATAAGTGGCTACAGTACACATCTGGGATGTCACAGCTTGTTTCGCTGATGAAGCGCTTGGAGGCTGGGGCTCGGATTTTTTTTTGGGGGGTTCCCAAGTCAAACTTGGCTCACAGAGGCTTATGGGGGACTGAAGAAACCATCGCTTTTCACAGGGCTATGTTCTTGGGCCCGTTGCAGGTCACTCAAGACGGCCGAGACATGGTTCAATCCCAACAGCAGCGACATAAGGGCTCGGGAAGGGGGGCTTCGCAGAGCGAGGCCAGAAACCCCTACCTTTTGGAAGGCCTTAATGCATTGAGACCAACTACCACGACTGGAGGACGGGGACACCCATTCTACAATCTTGTGCAACTGGCCAAGCTTTTGAATGTGTGACTTGGTTTGGCCCTGATCACGTTGATAACTCCAATGATTCAATGGCCCCAATGACTTTGTGCAAGATATTTTTGGAGTGCTGTAAAAAAGAAATAGGTAATATTTAATATTTAGTGGAGAATTTTGACGGGAATCAAGCCACTAACATATTGGATTAGTGGACAGTGGCCAGCTGACAGATCCGCAACGCCAGCAAGGTCTATTAAATTACGCGATGCTGCCTACCTGAAGGCTGCAGTCGAAAGCTTGCTGCAATTGTTATTCTCAGATTTTTCCACGGTAAGAGTTGCCAGCGCTGCAACTCTCAGCAGGGCTCGGCGCAAGTTAGATGTTGCCATGATGTATCTGAGAAGACAGACCTTGAGAGATGTCGGCATCCACAACTTGTCAATACAGCTGAGTTACTCGTTTTGCAGGTACTGCATGGATTTTTATTTCCCATTAGCCACCAGCTATTTGCGAGTAGCTGCCCATCAGCCTGACCTGGCCTACTCAGCATTCAACATCCTAGGTTTCGATGCGACAACTTTGAAGAAGGAAATGTTCATAGTGGAGGAATACTCATGCAGGCCAGGGCCATTGGCATGTTGATGCATGACAGTTGTCTAAAATAACACCTTTGAACCTTTGAAATTGAAAGAAATACAGTCACAGTCAATTAGCTCCTCAAACATAGCTACTCTTTGCCTGTGGCTCCGCTCAGGATTGGGAGTGCCCGGGAAAATTTCGCTCGCTGGCGACAATGCTCCCACCATCACAGCGAGGATCCGGAAGTGCTGGAGGATAGTCGAGATGCCTTAGCTGTTCACACACCTGGGCAGCATGCCACTGGCTTTGAGATTTCACGGCGTGTGCTGCCACCGACAACTCTTGGCCGAGGTGGGCTGCGGCAGCGCAAGGGTAGGGATAGGGGGTGCACATTGCAAAGCTCCAACATGGATACATGAACTGCCTTCTGGAAGGTTTGAGTTCAAGTAGTTTTAAGTTTGAAGCCTTGAGATTAATTAAGGGATAGGTGCGAAGATGGACCACGTCTATCGCCACGGCCTGCGTTGCTCACATTTGCCTATGCTGGCCCGAGAATCAAGAAGATTTCGGTAGGTTGAGGCCTGTGTTTGCCCTTAGTGTCTTCTAGTCACGGTGACAGTGACACTTAGTCACATCATCCAATAATGCCTTTTGGTGTGGACACTTCTCTTCCTTCTTATGGTTTGGGGCTCCATCATGCCCAGTATCTTCAGTGCCGGAGCGAGCTTCCGCAAGAGACCCAATCCAAGCTTGCCACTCCAACCACCAAGAAGAGGAGTAGGAGCGTGACTTCAGCAGAGACAGCTTCACCTGTAGCGATGTTGCCTTTCCATTATTTTTCTTCGCCTTTGAAGGAATCGGCATTGTCTAAGTTTGGGCTTGATTTCCGTTTGGGAACACAAAGCAACAACATCAAGAAGGATGATGGTGATGGCAGCGGCAGCATTGACGTGGATGATGATGGCTCAAGCTCTGACAAGATAACCGACGCTTCAGACCAGAATCCAGATGGCCACTGTTCGGACTTTGAGTCGGAGGTTGATTTCACTGAGGACCCGGTGGTGTTACCCAGTGAGTGTGGCAAACTTGTTTTGGAGAGATGCCCCTCGCCCCCGCATCATGGCGTGCATCCAGACAGTCAGTCTACAGTTTCTGCTTCTGACCTTGAGGCTCTCTGCAATGAAATCAAGCTTGTAACCGAGAGGCCATTCGATGGTGCAGTGACTCCTTCCACTCCACGCTGGGGCACATCGCCGCAGAGACGTTCGCCCTCGTCCGGCAGTTCCTTCACCAGGTTGCCATTAACAAGTCGACCGTTGAGTGCCCACTGGTCCTGTGACATTGAGATCCCATGGTTTGATTGATCATTGAACGATTTGAATGCCGCACTGCAATGGCAATGCTTTCTTTTGTGCAGATGAGTTTGGGGTGGCAATGTACAAGACTGTACATGTGTATGTGTACAATACATTCATGTTGGCCAACATGTTGTTCCGAGAGGGGAAAAGGGAGAAAGGGGTGGGGGACACGAAAAGTGGTGAGTAGATGACACAAAACAAGTGCCCCTTCTCTCATTCAATTGATTTTCGAAAATATTTTTTTTCTTGTTATATATTGTTGGGCTGACGGCTGGACTTCGATGAGCATATGTGAACAGGTGGGCTTCCTTGGTTTGGGCCCCGAATCGTGTCCTTGACAGGTGCGACTGACTACAGTCACAAGGTGGCAGCGTTGCTTCATTCAGTGATGCTTGAAGCTGGAAGTGACCCTGCAACAGCGGCATCTTACTGCGAGTAAGTTATTTCGTGCCTCAGCGACCAGGGACACTTGGAATATTTTGTTCAAGTTGTTTACCAGACTGGACAACCCAGAAACATTACCCAACTTTAAACAAATTCTTTATTGTGATACGGTTTTGGAACCCGATGTGGCAACACATGGGCACATGGGCATGCAATACCACGACCAAACTTACTCAGGCTGACTAACTCCCACTTTTAGCCACTATACGGATCGACCGTCAGGAACCGAATTGCTTCTTGGCGACATGCCGGAGATCAATACCAGCCGTCTCCGCCAGGACGATGCTGCTTCTTTGACGGCTGGGGGCAACACTTGCCCACTCAAACAAAACCAAAGTGTATCTTGGATATTTCTGGCTCTGCTCTAGTCTCTCTGACCTTAGTCAGCCTTAGCCTCTCATTATTTCACATCTCCGGCTTGGAACCTTTTTTTGATCATGGCACTGCGGCAGGGTGTGTGTGTGTGTACCATCGGAATAGATGTAAGACTTCTTATTACTGCAGGGGGCCGCTGGGGAACACTGCAGTCAGCGGCCAACGAAGACGCTGCAATGTTCCTGTGAAAACGTACCTGCAATATATAAATAAAAAATTACACCGGCATAGACCCCAAATAGAAAAGATTTCAGAAACGTTTTTTCATGCCGCGTCAATGGGTCAGTGATATAGCGGATGTCTCGACAAGCAAATTTCACAGCATCTGCCTACTCAATTGACATGAGCAAATATTCTTTGAAAACGCGTTTTGTTTTGTCTTGTTGAATGATCAAAATGATGATGCGTTTGGACTCAAAGATTTGCGTGTCGGATTGACATCACAGTGGTTGCGTCAAAAAAAAAGTGTTTTTCCTTGCCGCCCACGATTTCCAACCTTGGAACCTTGAAATCGCATTTGAAGGCAATCCTGGTTCCCAACGATTCAAGCAAGTCTGGCAACTTTCATGCATCGGTATTGCTTGGTTTTGCGTAATGGGCCGGTAACAGAACGCTTTGTTTGGCTTAATGTTAGAATGATATGAAAACATGTTCTTTACAGCCTTTTGTTTTGCTTAATGGGCCGGCATCAAATTGCTTATCTGTAACACGCGGCAGTCCTTGGTAAACGCACACGCCTCCATATGACTAGGTTCCTATTTTCATCACGCTTTGATGTTTTCATATGACTAGGTTCTCCACGCTTGCCACTGAACAAAACCATTAACGGACTACGATTGCAGAAATTGCCGCTTCCACGAAATTGAAACTCATGGTTCCCAACGTGGCAACCATAGATTTCCATTTCCAGCAATTACCAAATCCTGAAATTTGGAACTCATGGTTGCCAACCTCGTAACCAAAGGTTACCATTGCAAGGAACTGCCGGCTCCCACACCTTGAAACTCATGCTTCCCAACCTGGGAACCAGAGGTTACCATTGCAACGAATTGCCGGTTCCCAGAGGTTAGAACTTATGTTTTCGAAGCTAAGCGGCCATCATTGTAAGGAACTGCGGGTTGCGAAAGCTTGAAACTCATGGTTCCAAACCTGAAAAAGCATACGTTACCAGTGGAAGGAACTGTTGATTCCCAAAAGGTAGAACTCATGGTTCTTAATGTTGTTTTGTTTTGTTTACTGAGCCGGTAACAGAACCTTTTGTTTTGCTTAATGGACCGGTAGCGGAATGTTTGCGTTTGGCTGATGGGCCGGCAAAAAAATGTTTTTGCACGAAAAAGGTGCATGTTAAAATGATATGAAAACATTTTCTTTACAACTTTATGGTTTTGCTTAATGGACCGGTACAGAACGCTTTGTTTTGCTTAATGGGCCGGTACCGGAATGTTTGCGTTTGGTTCATGGCAAGGAAGTGCCGGTTTCAAAAGGTTGGAACTCACGGTTGCCAACGTGGGAACCACAGGTTACCATTGCAAGCAACTGCCGGTTACCAGAGGTTGGAACTCATGCTTCCCAAGCTGGGAATCATAGGTTGCCATGAACTGCCGTTCCCAGACCTTGAAACTTACGGTTCCCAACCTGGGAACCAGAGGTTACCATTGCAACGAATTGCCGGTTCCCAGCGGTTAGAACTTATGTTTTCGAAGCTAAGCGGCTATCATTGTAAGGAACTGCGGATTCCCAAAGCTTGAAACTCATGGTTCCAAACCTGAAAGTGGAAGGATCTGTTGATTCCAAAAAGTTAGAACTCATGGTGCTTAATGTTGTTTTGTTTTGTTTACTGAGCCGGTAACAGAACTTTTTGTTTTGCTTAATGGACCGGTAGCGGAATGTTTGCGTTTGGCTGATGGGCCGGCAAAAAAATGTTTTTGCACGAAAAAGGTGCATGTCAAAATGATATGAAAACATTTTCTTTACAACTTTATGGTTTTGCTTAATGGACCGGTACAGAACGCTTTGTTTTGCTTAATGGACCGGTACCGGAATGTTTGCGTTTGGTTCATGGCAAGGAAGTGCCGGTTTCAAAAGGTTGGAACTCACGGTTGCCAACGTGGGAACCACAGGTTACCATTGCAAGGAACTGCCGGTTCCCACAGGTTAGAAGTCATGGTTCCCAACCTGGGAACCAGAGGCTACCTTTGCAAGCAACTGCCGGTTACCAGAGGTTGGAACTCATGCTTCCCAACCTGGGAACCACAGGTAACCATTGCAAAGAACTTCCGGTTCCTAAAGGTTGGAACTCATGGTTCCCAACGTGGGAACCAAAGGTTACCATGGCAAGGAACTGCCGGTTCCCAGACGTTGAAACTTGCGGTTCCCAACTTGGGAACCAGAGGTTACCATTGCAACGAATTGCCGGTTCCCAGAGGTTAGAACTCTATGTGTTCGAAGCTAAGCGGCTATCATTGTAAGGAACTGCGGGTTCCGAAAGCTTGAAACTCATGGTTCCAAACCTGAAAAAGCATACGTTACCAGTGGAAGGATCTGTTGATTCCAAAAAGTTAAAACTCATGGTTCTTGATGTTGTTTTGTTTTATTTACTGAGCCGGTAACAGAACCTTTTGTTTGCTTAATGGACCGGTAGCGGAATGTTTGCGTTTGGCTGCTGGGCCGGCATAAAATGTTTTTGCACGAAAAGGTGCATGTCAAAATGATATGAACACAGTTTCTTTGTTCAAGAGGTGCCCCCTAAATGGATAAGTTCGTGCACATAACTCCAATCTCACTATGCTTGATGAAACGCTTAAAATTCGTTAAAACGATAGACACCATTGGAAAATGGAGAGATTTCACATATTTCATATTTCACCAACAAGTCTAAATGGTGATTTCTTAAAATTTATAGCTCATTTATAGTTCATGGGTTATAAACCAACAAACATCACCGGCAACTTTGCCCACCGGGATGGAGGAGCCCGGAGCCCGGCCTCGCTTTGGACTTGGCCTCAGGTTTTCCGTGCATCAGCTGTTGCACCGCCTTCTTCCGATACGCTGCCTGCAACGACGTCCACAGGGAACAGGTGGGAAATGGGGAAGGTGCCCATGAAACTTGGGAGTTAAACTGGACAAAATGGTGAGCTAACTAGGAAACATTGTGATATATTTAGGGAAAAGGTGGATTTACCTCTGGAAAATGGTGACTTAATTGGTTTACCTATAGGGAAAATGATGATGTAACTGGTGAAAATTGAGATTCGCATAGGAAAAACATGAGTTAACTAGGAAACATATCCTTTAACTAGGGAAAATGGTGATGTAGATAGGGAAAAATGTGAGGAAATGGAGCCTTAAAGTTTCCTGAGGACAACTCCCTGTGGAGCTGGTATAAAATAATGTTCTCGAACCTGTTTTGCACACCATTCATGGTGTGACATTGTTGGTTCAAACACAATCTTAAGATAGGATGTGTATATTATATATATATATGTTTGATGATATATATACATGTATATATATAACTATATATATATATCATATCATATCATACCTGCGGATATGTATATGTATATGTATATGTATATATATATATATATATATATATCATACCTGCCGAGCATGGTATTACATTGCTGTATGATGAAATCAAACTATATACATATGTTTGAATATGTTTGATATCTCAGAGATCATCTTGCCTCGTAATAAGGTAAACCCAATCATTAACCATCCATAATGCGGGCTTATTATTGGGTGATTATTTTTCACGGACAACCCAATGAATCGCTACTCGTTGCTGTTTACCAGAATGATCCAGCATTATTTGGCTTTACCACATTACCGGGTGAACAGTTGATGGTACTCATCACCATAGTTGTTGGTACTACCATAAACACTGCTTTGTCATTCTTACTGTTTATCTCAACCATATCTGGTTGGTGGTAGCTCGCCACCCCTCTGAAAAATGATGGACTTCGTCAGTTGGGATGATGAAATTCCCAACTGAATGGAAAATCATAAAATTCCATGGTTCCAAACCACCAGATCTATTTACACCGTTTTCAACGTAGATGGCCCCGCCCTCTTCCAAAGTGCGCGTATAGATGGCGCCGACTTTTTGAATTTTGACACCCCCCGAGGGCGTGACATCCATCCCCCTTACTTTTGTGGGCCGCGCCATCTATGCCAGAATGTGTTGCCAATGTGTTTCAGGGTTGCGCCATCTATGCAGGGATTCTTAAGTCCAAAGTTTCCAAGCCTCCGCAACATTCACCCAGTCGGTTGCGCTCGATTTTTTCTCTTCCCTTTCTCCTTCTCCTTTCCCTTTCCCCTTTCCTTTTCTCCTGTCCCCTTCCCTTTCTCCTTTCCCTTTCTCCGTTCCCTTTCTTCTTCTTTGTTCTCCTTTTTTCCTTTCTCCTTTCTCCTGACCCTTTCTCCTTCCCCTTTCTTTTTCTCCTTTCTCCTTTCCCTCCTCCATTTCCTTTCCCTTTACAAATGGAACGCAGCTAGATGGCGCAATCCACAGTCATGGTTTCAAGTAGGGTTCTTCCCTTTTGGGGCATTGTTTGCAAGACTTTTCAAGAGCAACTGGATGGCACTGTCCCAGGTGGTTGCGCCATCCATTATACATGATTGTTTTTCCCTTCAACACTTGACTTCAACCGGCCGAGCCCTTTTTCATCAAAGTTTTGATTACCAAAAATCCTTTCCCGAAAGAAGGATATTAAATTTAAAACGGGGTAGATGGCGCAATTTTGTGCATTTTGTGAAGGACAAATATGCTTCGGTGTTTTGACTTGAGCCATCTCTCCAAGACAAATATGCAATTGGATGGCACTGTCCCAGGTGGTTGCGCCATCTATTCAGTAGTTTAGTAGTGAAAAAATCCTTTCCCCGAATAACTTTTGTTGAACACACATCCCCCTTACTTTTTCAACGCTTTGATGACCGAAATGTCCGGTCCCGGAAGAAGGAATTTAAATTAAAAATGGGGTAGATGGCGCAATTTGGCCCATTTTGCACTTGTAGGGTTGCGCCATCTTCTGGCACATTTGCTGTTTCGGGTAAATTTGGGATTGATTTTTTTCACTGTTAAATAGATGGCGCAACCACCTCTGAAAAAGTAGGTCAGAGCCATGTACTTTGAACATGGAGTACCACGACCCCAGCCATAGTGGTTTTCATGCTTTCTGGTCCATTCGGGGGCACCTTTTTCCAGGAACATCCCCGTTCGGTCGGATCCGCGGGGCCTTGGAGAGTCGTTGATCATCGGTGGCCAAATATTTGCAGAGCTCCTCATCCGTGAGCTGCGCACCGTGCTCCTGGAAAATCAGCAGCGAAAGAAATGATGGTAACCGGGTACTAACCCCATTTTAAGAACTCCTATTATAGGGATTCTACGTGTAGCCTACAATTGTGAAAAGCCGATCTTTGTTTATAGTATATAAATACATTATAATTGGGATACCTATTGTAATGTCCAACAAAAATGAAAATAATTCCTATAGAGTAATTGTAGGCGCTACAGCATCTAATCGTATCAAGTCCATGATTGGTTGTGGCAACAATATTTCCCTATCACTGGAATAAGTACATCTATATTTTACTTATATATATATACTTACTAACGTTCTGTCCAACATGCACATACGAAACTGCACTTGTAACTGGGTCAACCATCACCAAGACCTTTGCCTGCGATCCTCCAGAACATCGAGAAAACAGTAAGTCTGCAAAGATCTCACATGTCTCACTGCCATCTGCATGACGACGTCTATGGTGTTTCACCCCACGTGCTGCAACACAATGTTCACAGTTTGGGTCATGCCGTGGCACGTCCCTCCAATCGGTGACGAAACAAACCGCCAAAAATGGCATCAACAACATCTGTAGGGTCTGGTGACTGTAAGTGCCATAGCCTGCTACACAAAACTTCGCTTGACAGTACTCTCAAGGGGTGGAGCCTCGAAAGCAGATCCATCAATGGTTTAATTGGGATTGAACTAAATGGGTGGATGTTCCATTTTGCATTTAAATTTCCAAAGGGTAACTGGGGTTGTTATCCAACTACGATTTGGATATAACTACCTTTAACCTGAACTTCTTAGCCATGGTTAGTCCTAACTCGTCAAGCGAAGACGTCCAGCTCTATGGATCCAGATCTTCCAATTCTATCCCCACTTGTTTACATGACATCGAAGAAAAATCACTAAAACTATACAAATCATGGTTTGAATTCCTCTAGTCACCTTTTAGATACCGTTAAATCACCATTAAATCACCATTAAATCAAATTAAATACCATTAAATCACCATTAAATCAAAATTCAATCCCATTAAATAAGCATTAAATCACAATTAACTCCAATTAAATCACCATTGATTCATCAAATCACCATTAAATCACTATTAAATCAAATTAAATCACCATTAAATCACCATTGAATCATCATTAAATCACCATTCAATCACCATTAAATCATCCTTAAATCACCCTTAAATCACCTTGAAACCACGCGAAAAATCCAACCGGTGGTTGTTGCTTCCCAACTGCCGCTGGTAGCGACAAAAGCTTCGTCCTTACCAAAGCGTGCCAGATCTTCATCCGTCAACGCCAGTTTGGCCTCACGCGCGACGCGCATCAGCGGCTCAACGAAGAGACCCAAGAAATGGTGGTTTTACGAAAATTGTCATTTAACGTTTGGGAAAATGATGATTTCCATGGGATTTTGAGGGGATTTCATCTTTGAATCTGGATAAATTACTGTGTAATGAGAGAATCATCCCAAAATCATCTTATTTCCGGAAAGTGAATTATTTAATAGTTCACTATCCTGAAATAAGATGATTTGGGGATGATTCTCTATATAGGAACCATCATTCTAGTAGTATTCTTTCGTGCCGTCGCTATAATTTGTCTAGATTTATGAAGGGATGTAGTTAGCGAAAAAAAGTTCGTCCAAAATGGGGGATTCAATAAATCAATGGCCATGGAAGAATAATAGAATTTGATCCATGGAACCACGGGATTTTGTGGTACCCTCTGGTAATTTAACATAGCTATTGAAAATGGCAATTTATAGTGATTTTTCCCATGAAAAAATGGTGATTTTCCATAGCTATGTTAGTTTACCAGAGGGTACCCTTTCCAAACAGACCCAAAAAAAAATATGGCGTTGACGTCTGGAAATGATGGGGATCATCCATAAAGGGAACCGCCAGAGTTTGAATGTCCCAGGTGACCGTAGTTCTTTTCCCATATGGTGCTATACTGTTTTTTTTTGGAATTTAAAGGGAAACTTCGCAGCAAAAATAGGGATCTACTTTCCACTTCCAGACTTGATTTGTGGATACATCAATTTATGGTACATGGGTTGGGGGTAGTGACTGTGACATAACACAGTCAAACCGACTTATTGACAGCGCCGCTTCAAACACACCAAGTACCAGGGGTGTATATTTTTCACAGAAGGAAGGGGTATAGATTTACCAATTGTTCATCCCTTTGTGGCTATAATTTGCCAAGAATTGCTTGCAGCACCCCTGGTTGACCATGGTAGTAGTGGAAAAAATGTCCAGGTCCGGTGTCAGATTTCCAGATTTCATATTGGGACGAGCCATCCGATCGATTCGTCCGCGCCAGTGACACTAATATAACTCATATAACCAGTGTAAGTAACCTGACAAACACTGGGTGGTTGTGCAATAACCTTGAAAAATATGATAGTCAATGTGAAGGATTATCCCATATATTATGGAAAATACAAAATGTTCCAAACCACCAACCAGAACATGATTCAGCACCTATACTATCATGCGTTTGGCAAGGACGAAAATCCCACAATGACTGGACCCCCAGTGTAGCCTGGTCCTGGTGTTGCAAAAACACCTCAAAACCCTATCCAGGGCAGCAAGAAAGATACCAACCTTGACAGCATGCTGGTTGATATCCCGCTCTTTGATGAACTTCAAGTAGCCTCGCCAGGCCAGTATGTATGAGAAATGTGTGTTTTCAACTTGTCCAAGGCTATGCTTAACCACAACAGTGTACCATATCTTGGAGTAGACATACGAAGAATGCCAAAGCTCCTTGGTTCCCTGTCTTTGAAGAAACCTTTGAATGGAGTGCTTCAATTGGAACTTAAGTGGAACCCCAATCATCAAAATCTTTAGTGGGGTGTACAAAAACAACAGCAAATACTTGGAACCAACACCATCGGGTTGGAAATACTTGCAATCATTGGGTTTGAAACAAGTCAGGTGTCACCCATCCCGTCAGAAGAATTTGGTTTCTCCAAACCCCAGGATGACAAGCCTGGTGGCTCCAACACGGTTCTCCACTGACTTCGTATACCGGGCGCTGAAAATTGAAAATGACCGGAATGGAGGGATTCATCACTGTTTCTTTGTTGTCAATATTCCATTTAATGGGTACCCCAATATCCCCATTATCAAACACACTCTATATATATATATAGATAAGTAGTAGGTTTTCCCAGTAACACCCAACTATATGTATATATATACATATATACATCATTCAATCCCTCTACTGCCTGGTGAATCCCTCTAAACTATAATCAGTTTATCTTTTCCGCCCAGAAAAAGGGCTTTTCCGCCCAAAATCCACGGAGCCCTGCCTTTATCAGCTGCAAAGGCCAAGCCCACGAGCATGGGGAAAAAGAAGAAGGTCAGGATACCTGCAGGGAAAATCATGCGAAAATCATTGGAATCCTATATGGAATCTAAGCATCACTTATGAATGCACGATAGGAATAATATATGGAATAAGAAAAGTAATTGGAATTATTCAGGAATAATATATATATATATATATGTACGTATATATATATATATACGTGTATGTGTATATATATATATAGATATACATGATTATATGTATTTTATGTTGTTTTAACCATCAAAGACACAGTTATGATCCACTTCCACTATGCGGATAATGAAATGCATGACTAGCACTGCAGGGATATCACTGCGATACTAATGGAAGAACCTTAAAAAGTGCCCAGCAAGTATGTTTATAATTTATACCATCTGGTTATTTAACAGTTCGCGAACTGGAAAATCACCATTTGTAAGAACGGTATGGCCCATCTATTTCGATTAGGGCCATGGCTTAACAATGCCACATGGCTATGTTAGTCATAACCAGAGGGTAAGATGTTATAAGTCCCCAGGGAACATCTCCATCTTCCTAGCGCCCTCAAGGCTCCGAGGCCCCGAGCTCAGAGTCCCTCGAATGCCATAGGGATTTTTGGACGAAAAAGTACCTATCCTGTGAAAGTCCCTCAAAAAAGATGGGAAATATCATAAATATATGGGAAATATATGGTTCCCAAAAAAAATGGTATGTTAAAAATATATTAAGCGTCCTTTTGCAAGGTTGCGTTTCAAGGCCTAGGTTTTTGTTTCAACCTGTTTTCAAGTCTGTTTGCTGGATATTCTCGGGTTCATCACTCTATCGACCACAGAAAACTGGCGCCTTCGTAGATGTCCACGATATCCTGCGGGAGCGCAATGATCAAACCGCTTTCTGTGCTGTGTGCCACCCAAAAAGCAATGATTATTGGTTTAGTGTCACCCCGTCCGATTCTTTTTGGATACATACCTAGCACAACCCATAGGATTCACAAAACGTGAATTGGACCTTAACTTGGCTATTGTTCGCAGGCCCCACCTTGCGAGCCCTTCAGGGGCCAGTCCTCTTTCTGTCATATAAACAATGACAAAGCAATCAAGTTTCCACACATGATTTCCAAACATAATTAGCAACAATCAGATTAAATCATCATTACACTGACCTCAGACTGATTTCTGGAGTACACTTGAAATGGATTCAGAGGGAACTCAAATACAGCTTAAAACACTTCTGCCAATCCACACCCAACCCATATGGGCATAACATGATATACATTACGGTTTCACGCAGCAACCAACAGGCTCCACTCATCATAGAGGCCTCTGAAATGACAGAGACCACCAGGTAGAGCCTCAAAAATGCAGCAGTCCACTCAGCTTGAGGGTCCCCAAATAAATCAGAAAGGGCTAGTACCAAACAACAGCTAGATTAAAAAAAAAAACGTGGAAAACTGGGACCTCCAAAAATTCCACCAGGTGCCCCCGTTCGATAGCTAAGTTGGTGAACATAAATCCAATTTCACTATGGTTTTTGTTGGTGATATATCGAACTAGTTCTTGGGGTTTATAAACCAATTTATAACTAGGGCACCACCTTGCACCCTCAAACAATAGACTGGATAAGCAGCAGATTCTGCTTTGTTGGGTGGATTATCCATGTCATAAACAAAGACACATCTTTATTAAATCATGCTCTGAATGATGCCAGTTGTCATAAATTCTCAGAATCGCCGGTCATGATGGATCACCAAGCTGGTTGGGTTGGGCTGAATCACCTCGCCACCAGAGCTTCCGGGCCGGGTTTTCCGGGGCCCCCAGCCAGAGATATGCAAACAATGAGATCAGAGCGGTCACGATATAAACATTCATGTCCTTGATGTATCTCACCTCCAGCAAGGCCAGGATTATTTTTTTGGGTGGGAGCGGACCCGAGCTGGGGATGTTTTTTGGCTGAAATTCAGAATCCCAACAACTTCAACAACTGGGCAAAAATATGGTACAAGGAAATAAAAGACATAACACTATTGATTTACATACATATCAAAAATTACTCAACAATCTCTAAGAGTCAAAATGACGGAAATATGATAGGTGTAAATATCATATACATATATATATATATTGTATGATATTATCTTGGAACCACTTTTCCATCTTTTCGGGTATTACCAGACTCCCCTGATATCCGTTCTGGTCGTGAAGCCCCATGATATTGGTGGGAGCCCATTTAGGTTGCTTGGATAACCAGTATGGCACCTGCCCTGCACCTGTCCCGCTCATAAATTTTAACACCGAGCCAACATGGAATCCAATTTATTTAATTATACATTGTGTTTATTGAAAAATGTTAGTTTTCGTAAGAGTAACATCTCATAACCATATAGTTCACTCATTTAGATTCATCCCACGAATCGTAACTGGTTCATAATCATAGTTATAGTTAACTTCATGTTACTTCACCCATTTCAAGTTTAAAGATGGGATAAGATGAATAACCCCCACTTTTCTTGGGGAGGAATGAATCCCATCACCTTGGGCTACCTTCACCAGCTACATTCCGCAGACAGGCCTCTTTATCCTTGATGGCACTGACACAGACTGCGGAAATACAAAACAAGTTGAAGGCTGCACTGCCTGCACCCGCCGGGCCGGCGTCACAACTGCGGACGTGGGATGTCCAAAAAAAAACAGAAGATATGCGTAAAAAGGTGGAAGAAATCCTGCACCAGTTGGGATTCCAATGAAAGACTGGAACCATCATGGGACTTGACGGGATGTTGCCCACCAACTATCCATCCACAGTATGAGTGCAACAAGTGTCTTGCCAGCAAAAACACGTGGAACAAAAAGGTGAGGATCTAGTTCAGCAAATGACATACATTATACATACATTGTACATACATTGTACATACATTATACATACATTATGGGATATTAACTAAATAAACATTGACCAACAGTCATGCGGGGGGGGGGTTGAAGCAACGATGGGCAGATCTGTCGAGTTTCCCGTGGGACATATCTCCTCTACGGGACCAACCTATGGTGGGCATGAACTTCCCATGACAGCCTCCAGTGATCAAGCCTGCAAAAAAAAACATAGTTTTAACGCTTTGAATATGTTTGAATCTTCAAGCTTGATGTTTTTTCAATTCGACACACGTAAATTTTCCAGCCAAACATGTTGCTGATTTGCAGAGAGGGCATTTTCTCTTGGCCAGGTCTCGCACGTTGTTCGTCAGTATTCTCCCTGTTGCTGGCCATTATCCCCTCTTCCGCTGTTGGCTAATATCATTTAACGGATACATCTTTGTTGATGAACATCCCCCCCAAAAAAATAAATCCAGTAAATGACACTCCCCATATCTCCCAATGTCCTACAATGTCCTACATGACCCTTGCGACCCTGCAGCACACTCAACCGAGTGATCTGCAATTTCCAGGCTTTCCGACGGCCCTGCCTACAATGGTGGAAGGACCTAAATCTCCGCTGTAGAAGCTATTGCCAAAGAGCTCAATGACCTGGCTAGTCATAGTGGTTTTCAAAGTGGATCAATACAGTAAATATCAATATCCACGACCAGCTTATGAACCATGAAAACCCATGGTGTTCTACCATCGTTAGCTCATAGTTATTCTGGCTATCAACCTCTTGGAGGCTGACCCAGGGTCCAAGCGACCAAAAAACTCAATGACTGCTAGACATTGCGACAGGTTGATAAGTATAAGCGTCATTGACCAATGAACTTTGGTTAGCTAATGATCTAAACCCACCTGGGGTCTTGTCAAAACCCCGAGCTCTTTCAAATGTGTTTTTCACACGTTATCGTTTTTTTTCCTCTTACCGTTTTTCCAAGCGCTGGCTTCACACCTTGACCAAAGGATTCACATGAGCGAGGAAAGGGAACAGGAAAAGGAAGAGTAAAGGAAGGGAAAAGAAAGAATAGGAAAGGGAGAGGAAAGGGAAAGGAAAATGAAAGAAAAAGGAAAAGGAAAAGAAAACGAAAGGAAAAGGAAAGGAATAGGACAAGAAAAAGGAAAGGAAAAGGGAAAGGAGAAGGAAAAGGAAGGGAAAGGAAAAAGGATAGGAAAGGGAGAGGAAAGGGAGAGGAAAGGGAGAGGAAAGGGAGAGGAAAGGGAGAGGAAAGGGAGAGGAAAGGAAAAAAAGGGTCGTGTCTCACACAGACCATTTTTGATGCCAAAAGTTATCGTTTTCGTTATCGTTTTGTCATCGTTCGTGAATCCTGTGTATAATAAGTTCCTTTTTTCTGGAAATGGCTGCAATCATCAAAAAGGAGTCTAGCGACCACCATTAATGACAACATTCGTTGGCGCGCCATTACGACAACAAACAATGAAATGAAGAAACCAAAACCACTAAATAGCTGCAGAACGACGGACAAATAAAAAACATTGGATTTCAAGAGTCTGGACACAGATCATGAACAGAACCAACGTTCACCGTTATCTATTTTTTTCCTCTTATTGTTTTTGCGAGTGAGAGCTAAAGATGGCTCATGGGGGATCATGGAAGACTCAACGAATAGGCGTCTTGTGTGCATGGTTGATGACGGTCAACCATTGATAATCATCTGCGAAAGTTGGTTCATCATGTGCAACAGCAGAACATTGGGACATGATCCATAAGCATGGAATCTAACTAAAATGATATATATTATTTAAACAAGTCTTCAAGCCAACATACTAAGCACAATTCGAATTTAATAATGAGTCCTTCAATTCCACTAACAACATGGAAAATCCACCAACTTATGTAGAAATGTTATGTCCAACGGAAACCATTGATGTTCCAAAAATCAGTTTACCGCAGGAACAAAAAAAACTAACAAAAATGAGTCCAAACATGTTGACCCAGGAACTTCCCATCATAGATCATCATATTCCCTCCATGAACTCTACCAAAAAACGCCACATCTTCTTACAAGTCCCACTAGAATCCTTAAAAAAAAAAATAAAACCCATTAAAAGTCCTACGAAATCCTATAAAAATTATCAAATCCCATCCGTTTCTGCTAAGTTCTCCGCATGGATTTTCGCCAAGGCACACTCAACAGGATTTCAGGAGCACTGGAGCCCAGAGCCATCAGGGTGAGATTGGCCACCGTGTCGTTCCAGACCTTTCCGGGGGATGTACGCCGGAGATGAGGCAAAAAAGGGGGTGATGATTTTTTTTGGGATGATGTATACATATTCGTGTAGATATACATATGTATGTATATACATAATTATATATATATAAATATTGTTAGTAAGCTTTTTCATTGGGTATACCAGGTATACCATTTCGAATGGGTCTATTTCGGGTATACAATCACCATTTTGTGTTTATTAGATGTTACTGGGATGTACAAGGGTTTTACAGTGGGTATACCACTATATATACTGGGTTGTTATCTCCAATTGGAAGGTTTTGTTTGGGGGGCTATACCACTGTGAAATGTGGCTGTGTCTGATGTTTTATTTTCAGCTGAAACTGATCAGGTGATGAGTTGGGGGAAGTGGCTTCGCGCTAAGAATGTTGGGATATACTTGGCCCTCCAAGTACGCATGCAAATTGGTAAAAGTCACAAGAATAGAATGACCTGGCAATATCAACTGACTGCAAGCCAGCAATGAAAGCTCCCTGTTGGTGTCCTTCATTGGACATATTGCAAGTCAAATGTTCACCACATCTCACTACCAAGAAAGGAACGGGTGGTTGCATCACAATTGCAACTACAATGAATTGGGCTTGTTAAACATAGGGTGCCCCTAAATTCATTGTTACTCATCACTATCCCCATTGAAAATGCCATGTGGCAAAGGAGAATATCCGCCTTTCAGGCACACCCAAATATCAGATTGTCAGTTATATGTATATATATATATATATCGCATCATATCTCGGCTACATTTACGTCTACCATCTGGTTATTTAACAGTTCGCCATGGAAAATCACCATTTTTAATAGGTAAACCATCTATAAATGGGCCATTTTCCATGGCTATGTAAAATAACCAGAGGGTATATAATATCCCATTAAACCCATTTCAGAGCATATTTACATCATCTGCATCAAGCCATTGCAAGTGGCAAAAACCCATCGAGGCAAATCATGAGAATTAATCGAAACTTAACAGTACTGATACCATCTGGTAATTCAACATAGCTATGGAACATGGCAAAGTTATAGCGGATTTACCTCTTCAACGTAACATGGTGATTTTCCGTTACGTTAAGCTACGAGTGGCAGTCGCGATATACTCGCAGTAGTTGTAGAAATATATACTCCATTATAGGATTTTCCATTATCAACCATCCATGTTGGGATACCCCCATTTTGGGAAAGCCCCAGATAAGTCATGTTGATCCCAACATCACCTTCCAAAAAACAACTCAGCAACTCACCGAACTCACCGATGCTCAACTCACCTTGATCGTGACGTGCTTGCCATTTGGGCCTAAGACCCGTTTCTTTTTGGAGGTGATCTCTTCAATGGCACCTGTCCCAGGCGAGCAAAAAAGCCGACAAAAAAGGGTGGTTTCATGGTGAAACTATGGATTTTTGTATGCCTACCCTCTGGTTATGACTAACATAGCCATGGAAAATGGCCCATTTATAGATGGTTTACCTATTAAAAAATGTGCCACAAAATATGAGTTTGTAGAGTGCGCTCATCATTGCACTTCATAGGGATGAGCAGGGATGGGAAAAACATATTTGAAAGCACTAAACAAATGTGTATATATATATATTATATTATTCTTCGTCTTCTTCTTCTTGTTCTTCTTCTGGTTTTTCTTCTTATTATTATGAATATATACTCTGAAAAATAACAAGGCAAAACACTTGCACGGTGTTTTCGCTTCGATTTTTTGGAATGTTCTGAACACTCTGAGATTTGGGGTCTTCCATCTCACACAACTTGAGGTAGTGACCCGAATTTCATGTTGCTTACAGTACCCCTAGTTACCCTAGTTACCCCCATTTCTTGTTGGTCAAATCCCACGAAAAATCCTACAAAATCCCCATGGAAATCCTGATGAATTCCCTATTTCAAGTTGTTCAATCATGTTAAATCCTGATAAATCAGCCAGTTTGATGCCAAGACACCCATGAAAATATCAGAGACCGCAGCTACTGCCAGGAAAAGCCACATCAGTCCGAGCCTTCGAACATGCGAGGGTCATTGGATGGCACTCAATTGGTATGTGACGACTAACCACAATTCGTTCAGTACAGCAAAAGATGGATACTGGATACTGATGGATACTCTATATGGATACTGGATACAGTATATAAATAGTATAGATATGGATAGATATGGATAGATATGGATAGATATGTATAGATATGGATAGATATGGATAATTAGATATGGATAGATATGGATAGGTATGGGATAAAAGCGAGTTGCAAATAGGTTATTGACCACCTGCTAACAGGGTATATCCAAGTATGACTGAAACCATGTAGCGCCAAGAGAACCCCCTTTTACCAGACTTTTGAAGTCAATGTATACTTTGTCATGGGTAATTCGAAAAGCTTGAGAGTGGATGCGGGTAGATTCATTGTTTTCATGACATGAAAGACATGAGATAGACTTGTGGCATGTGTATAGTTTGATACAACCAAGCAATCATGGGAAGGCTCACAGGCACAGTTTCAGTACAATCCATCAAGGTGATGCCCCGATGTGCAAGTCCTGTGAACTGGCCAAGGCACAAGTAGAGAACGGCTCGAAGTCCCTTTCGCCATTCCTGGCGATAGTGATAGTATTGGTGTAGTTTGAAGGAGCTTGGATCTACTGATATGCTAATTTTGATCGAGGGAAAAATAACAACGTGGGCACAAACTGAGGGTCAAGATATGTCAAGATACCACTTATTGGCGGGTTTTCTCCCCATCAAAGGACAGCTCGAACACCTCAACAAATCTCGTCTTAAGATTCTTAAGCCGCCAACAAGGTTTACAAACAAGTACTGTAATTCATCAAAAGTATTCAATCAGTAGTAACATGCAGGACTACCCAAATCATCCAACATTGGTACCATATTTTTTTTGAAAACCTTCAAATGCAAGGAACGTCCGAGTGGTTCTGTCTGGAAGATATGGGAACATCCAAAAAAGAAATGATGGTTAATAATCAAAAAATCGCTTGTATCACTTATATCACCACTATATTGAAGACACACCCCCGGAAAGTTTGTATCAAGTTGGTTGTCTCTCCCATTATACAATATTTTACAGGGCTTGGTAAATGTCCCATTTTGGAGATTTTGAACATCACTTTCAAGTATCTGTTGGATATTATATTACTGTATATCCGCAATAGTTGGGTAACATTACCCAAATACTCCATGGTGCTGGTATATTTACCAACATTTACCCTAAAAACACCCAGTTGTGCAGGTAAATATACCAGCACCATGGATCACATGGGTCAATCCCAAGGTCATGGTCGCTTTGAAAAAACGAAAAAACTTCGATCCCAGGAACGCCCCGAAATCCGGATCTCAAGTCAGTCTTACAAATGCTACTGAAGTTACTTCATAGAAAATTACTGGTTGGTGGTGCAATAACCATTTTGAAAAATATTAGTCAATGGGAAGGATTATCCCATATATTGTGGAAAATAAAAAATATGTTCCAGACCACCAACCAGATTAATATACAGTTACTGCCAATGAAGCAGTTGTAACTGGCTTATTTCATGATATAACTTATATAACCTTAGTTACAGGAGTGGAGTCCCATTTATAACTCTTAAGGGCCATAACTGTAATGATATCATATAACATTATGTAATATATATAATTATATATATATACTAATATGATGAAAGAACTTTGGTTTCATCCCCACGTTTTGCAACCACGAGAAACCACAAATCTCCACCCACTGGACATTTTCCCAGGGCCTGTTCAGCCTCACCGAAGATGGGGAGAATGATCCCTTGTCCTCCAGGCTCACAAATCTTCACCTGGCGACTGACAGGGCATTGGATTCTCCAGGTTTATGGCCACACGAGATTGTCATCCGGGTCACCAGTTTATGGCGTTCCCTGATTTTTTGTTTTACCCTCTGATAAACTAACATAACTATGGAAAATCACCATTTTCAATGGGTAAATCCACTATAAATGGCCATGTGCAATAGCTATGTTAAATTACCAGAGGGCAATGTTCCCATCCATCCCTGTGAATGTTGGATCTTGGATGATCTTGGAATCTTGGCCTTGGATGGCCTGGTTTACGTCGGAGAGACAACTGATACACCAAACGATAACAGGAATACAGAACACATAGCGTGGAAGAAATCCGAATCACCAGGTGGTAGATGGGCAAAATCCCATTCCAATCCCATTATTAACGCTGGTTGGTGGTGCAATAACCATCTTGAAAAATATGAGTTCGTCAATGAGGTTGGGATGACATCCCATATATAAAATGGAAAATTAAAAAATGTTCCAAACCACCAACCAAGTCATGTTTGAAACCACCAACCAGAACGTGTTTCATACTTCCCGATACTTGATCTACAGTAGCTTTACCTGCAAACAGCATGGGAGTGCGAGGCCTGGCCTTTCCAAAGCAGAAATGCGCATACTGACAACGTAAGCTTCCGCGAGTACTAGCTATGACCCATTTAAGTACGATATCGTAACTTGTTAGTTATTAACATTTAAGCACGTTCTATATTCTTGATATACATGAAATGGATATGTATACTGGTACAGAAGTACATATATATATATATACAAGTGTAGTGCGTACACAAAAGTAAACATTCAAAGAATTTCAATGAACCATTACCCTCTGGCAATTTATAACATCGCTATTAAAGATGGTCCGTTTATATATGATGTACCAGTACCTTATAGAATAATCTGTGATTTTCCAGTTCGCTTTCTGTATGTTTACCAGAGGGCAATCCCATTAGATCTCATTAAAAATCAAATGCGCATCACATTAAATACCGTTAAACCATGTTAAACCTCTATTTTTGATGGTGAGTCACCACCTTCAACCAGTCCCAACCAGTCCCATTAGGGAAGTCACCACGTTTGCAATGTTTACACCACTTTCTTCACCATGAATGAGTGTCCGTGCTCCCATTCTGCCTGGCTAGTGCATGACATCAAACCTGGCCGTTTGAACGCTTCGCTGCGCTGGATGGATGGTTTTCATGGACTTCATGGACAATCCTATGAAAATCCCCATGGGATTTAGGGGTACCCCACACTTTAGGAAACCTAAATTGATGTAAATTGATTCTTAGAGGCAAGGGGTCCAATGTCGCTATCAGTGACTATCACACATCAAGGTTCCAACTGGTCTGGAAATCTTCAAACCCATGGGGATATAACCCCTACAAGTGTCCAATAATAGCTGGAACTGCGCTTCCAAGTACAACCCTGAAGTTGACGTTCTTTTTTCAACTTTGAGTCAACATCTTTGTGTCTGATCACAATCTATTTATTTTCGGGGATTCAGTGACAGTAGCCTTGAAATCATATCATCTTCGAAGGTACCCACAACAATGAGGCCACAACAATGTAGCGATCCCCTGAGAGGGAAATTGGTTCATCTGTGGTGAGTATTAAGCGGCTACAATCAGGAAGGTGTTCTTCTCCGATAAATTTACGATGTCCTATAGTATAGGGTAGCAGCATCCATTGCTCTCAGCCAGGTAAATGGATGATGAATCATGAATCATGAATGTAGAATTCACACCCTTGACCAACACGGTTTTCTCAACATAATTACACCAAATGATCTATATTCCTAGTGTCAGTTTAGTTGATAAAACCATGTTCGTTGGCTCCTACACAAAAAGATAGGTTAGAGTTAGAGTACATCCATAATAAGTGTTCAAGTTCCATTTCTTCAGAACACCATAACCATTTTCTAGCAAAATCCAATATTTTGCTAAATTATAATCCCTCTTTGAGAAGTTAAATCCGTGCTGGTTAGTACATCACCGTACTCAATTCTCCAAGAGGACTGACATACAACAACCCGCAAGAACTGAAACCTCATGTTCCCAATTATGTACTGGTCACTTGTCAGTGGTGGAAAACATATTCATATATATATATATATATATTCATTCTATTTAGGTGAAACCCTTCTTCTCGCTTTTGAAACCCCCATGTTAGATGCTTCACTCCAGTATGTTGGGCAAACCCACATGCATATCATTGTTGATCAGATATCCCATTAATAAAATGCCCTTGTCCCTTATCCCCATTAAAGTGGGCATGGGACCCCCAGATACAAGTTGGTCTAGAATCCCTTCCAGTTATCCACCAGCCACCAGGAGCCCTAAATTAATCTAAATTAGCTACGCAGTCACGTCCTCAATTTGCTTAGCCGGGTCTTCATATTGTCAACAATGTTGGTTATATCTCCCAGTAATATCCATCAATGATATCTGCATTACAACATGTTTACTATCCACATTATATGGGTTCATCTGAAAAACGGTATACCTCTCAATCCACTGCGTACTCATAATCTTTTCTCTTGCCATTTCGGGTTTTCATACCCAGTTTTCAGATACCACTGTCGAAAACCACACACACAATAATCATATAATAATATCATATAATATAATGGGTATTGTGGCACATGTCAAATAATTAATGGCTATCACACAGCTCAATATACCACTAATTACCACTACTTATACCACTATTATTGTAATTAATGGCTGTGATCACGAATATACCACTAAATACCACTAATAACATGTCATTAACTATGTACAATAATGTCAACCCCAGATTAATAAACCATAGTTTATTAATTAAGGGGTACTTCCCCAATAGTCATAATCTGATACTTAAATGATACCACCCGATTAAACAGTCTAAGGGTTTATTAATCCAGGATTGACATTACATGTACAATATACTACAATATACCACTCAATAATCCAGGGTTGACATTATAATCTACTAATAATGGCACATGTCATTAATTATGTACAATATACCACTCATATCAACCATATCTTCTCGATTTCTCTACACCATGGCCTGCCTCAAGTTGTCTCGCCCCGCAGCTTCCCCGGCGGCCGTCACTGGCGCGCCGGGCATCGTTGACCGCCGCGTGCTGCCCGTTCTCGGGAAACGCTTGCTGCGGAGACGTCCTTTTGTTGGAACAAAAACAGGGGGGCCTGGTTTGATTTAATGATTGGAGATTACGAGTTAAGCGGATTCATGCAATTACATGGGGTTTACCCTCTGGTAAACTAACATAACTATAGAAAATCACCATTTTGAATAGGTAAATCAACTATAAATGGGGTATTTTCAATAGCTATGTTAAATTACCAGAGGGTATATAATGGGATCTAAGCCTCCAAAGGTTATGTTTGGTGGTTCATAAATCCCTCAGGGATAGGGAATAAAATGGAATAAACAACGTAGTTGAAACATGTTGAAACCACCAAGAACGCGAATGGCCACTGAAATTCCAAGTGATCGTTTTGGGTTTACCATCTGGTTATTTAACATAGCCATGGAAAATCCCTGATAAATAAAGGTTTTAATGGGAAATTCATCTATAAATGGGCCATTTTCCATGGCTATGTTAAATAACCAGAGGGTAGATGGATTATAAAAACACAATGTACACCATTACAACATAAGTTGTGCAATCTTCTCCCTGGGATATCCCTGGATACCGCAGAAGCTCTTGCGGAGCTTAGCTCGATAAAGTCAGATGGCAGGCGTTGCCCAGTTGCTCTGATTGTTGGATCTGGTTGGTTGAGGGCAGAGTTCCCATGAATGCGGTGTACATATTATTTGATATTACATTGTAAAATGAATTATATATATATATACAAAATGTTCGTAGTCCCGTAGCATTAGGATATCAGACAATTAAGGCATAATTCCATGTGCAAATAAAAAAACATATTTAACACATTACATTACATTGTGTTATATTAAATTGTATTATAGATAGATAGATAGATAGATAGATAGATAGCTAGATAGATAGATAGATAGGTAGATAGATAGAGAGAGAGAGATAGATAGATAGATAGATAGATAGATAGATAGATAGATAGATAGATAGATAGGTAGGTAGGTAGATAGATAGATACGCAAATAGATACGTAGATAGATATGTAGATAGATACGTAGAGAGATACGTAAGATAGATACGTAGATAGATGCGTAGATAGATGCGTAGATAGATACGTAGAGAGATACGTAAGATAGATACGTAGATAGATACGTATAGATAGATACGTAGATAGATATGTAGATAGATACGTAGAAGGATATATAGATAGATACGTAGATAGATACGTAGATAGATACGTAGATAGATATGTAGATAGATACGTAGATAGATACGTAGATAGATACGTAGATAGATAGATATATACGTAGATAAATACGTAGAACAATGGATAGATAGATAAATAGATAGATAGATAGATAGCTAGCTAGCTAAATAGATAGATAGATAGATAGATAGATAGATAGATAGATAAATCATCACACAATCGCAACGGTTCTTATCTGGAAGTATGATATCAAACCATTTGGTATATCCCCCCACATCATAATTTGTCCGTTATACTGACTGGTTAACAAATGCGCGTATTGTGCATTGTCATGATCCACAATCAACCAGTTTGTCCATCCCCGTATGTTATCCCATCGGGGTTATGTGTGATGGCTCAGTTCGTATGCTGCCCCAACACTAGGTGCTTTCACCCATTTTTTTGGTTCTTTTGGGGACCAGGTGCACAAGGCTTCGTTTTGAGATGAAGGTGAATTGGCAAGAAAAATAGCGGCAAATTACCATACAGTAAATATGACACAGCTAGCATTGATAGACTATTTCTTCGGGAAACTATGGGTTTTTCAGATCTATGTCAGTTTACCCCAGGGCAAAGCATAATCTGAAATAGACGATGTAAAGGATTGTATAGCGGCTATGCGACCTGCTTCCAACCCCAGCCATTACATCAGATCCGAAGAATGCAGGGAGATAGGACCGATCCCAAGGAGAAATACCGTAGTCAACAGGATTTTGAACATCTGGATATGGGATATGGGTTAGCTGGTTGATACTAACAATAGACATCACTAAATCAGTGGTCCTCTAGGTCTTAATTTTTGACCTATGCCCGTATGTTTTTGATGAACCAACGTCTAGATGACTCTAGTAGAAACCTACACCACATCGACACTTTTGGAATCTTTTGGAGCTAGGAGCGCGCGTAAAAGCTTCGCTCCGCTTGAAAATTCTGCCCCGCTGCTGCAGCGTGACCAGGGTCAGCACAAGAGAAAAAGTCAGCGCTGACTGCGGCACAGCAGCAGCTTTGCACAAACGCGCCAGGGATGCTTGGCATTTTCCGTCATGTTTCTGCAATGTAATAGGGATATATTTTAGTATACAATGGGGATATACGGGGAATAAAAGTTATGGGGGTATAAGTGACCATTGATGCAATTTAACCCAGGGATCTGGCTGAATTCTCACAATTCACCCACCTGATATGTTTGGTCACTCTGGGAAGGTTCCCCCTAGTTCCAACCATCATTAAGATTTTCGCAGCTGTATGATGTGCTCATGGCGCGTCGATGGTTTGTCGAGAGTATGATTCCATCAAAAGATCTGCATCTGTGCAGGTTGGTACTCTCAAACTTTCAATCATGTGCGTTTCTCATAGTTTCTCTGGCCCTAAATCCAGTGTTTCATCATCATCTTCCCTGATATAATGGCCATTTCAATCCATTTCACGTGACTGGATACTCCATGACCCATTCTTTAGGGCTTAAGGTGAATGATTTCATGGGACATGTGGCGAGCCATGCCATGCCTGGAACGGTTGGGCTTTGGGCCGGAACTTTGCGAGATAACCTCAAGCGACTCAATCCATGCGAGGCTTCTTGCAGAGAATTCGATTGAAACCAAGAGGCTGCAAGCTGCCTTGAACAAGGCCTGAATGTCCCAACCATGCCAATGGAGTTCCACGTAGGTCAAATTCATGGATATTTATGATATACGCTGTTATTGATTTACACAGTAGTTGTAGGTTTGTGGTAGCCTTTATAATGTATGTTTATTTATCTACAGTTGAATGACGTGGGAGTATATAGTACCTCATATATATAGTACCTCATATCAAATTTCATCATAACTCCGCATACTCATCTCGTCTAGATCCCACGAGATACGAATAGGTTAATCGTGCCCTCCCAAAACTCAGGTACAGTACATGTGGATGACTTTGCTGTCAAGAAATGGTAGATTCGATCGCCGTTTTGTTGGTTTTGAGGCGTCCATTTCAGATCAAGTTTCATACGTGCAGCAGCAGGTATACCCCTTGGGTGCAACATTTCGGGAAAGTGTCCGTGCAAGCAAACTAATGCATGCAGCAGGATCATGTCCGAGCAGCCAGTGACATACTCATCATGTTGCAAAAGGATACTTGCTACCATTTTTTTTTGGACATTTCTTCAACGAATGGCAAATCTAATAAAGATAAATCATGCATTCCCTAAACATGAATCAATAGCCAGGTGTGGCTCATCTTCTCCGCGCAAGACTCTACAGTGCTCTACAGCTGAGCACAGCGATGCACCTGCACCGTGACTCTCAGTTTGTACCCATAAAAGTGGGTAAAGTAGTAAAAGTACCTACAGTTATGGCCATTTATTAGTTATAACTGGTTATAAATGGGATTATACAATCGATAAATGGGGTTCTAAGTACTTATAATTGGTAAAGGGCCATAACCATAACTGTATCGGATCCTATCGGATCCTATGGTCACATCACGTACCCATTCGTATTGCCACATTGAGACTACCCCGCATTCGTGGCCTAAAACTGACATCATCCAAAACAGGCTGCTCTTCAGCATGCCGCGGCTGCTCGGTCGGCCGGGCCCTGCAGGCCCTCAATCGATGGAGTCGACCCTCGCGGCGTCCGCCGCACACATCAAAGGGCACGGCGCTCGGGTCGCGAGTGACGTCGGCCGAAGGTGGGCCAGAAATTCCGCAAGTCATTGGGCGCCCAGTGCTTCCGATCCTCCAAAATGACGATGTTAGCGCTTCAACAAAATCGAAGAAAATACATTGCATCTTACCTCATAAATTACATACTGAGTCATTGCTCTTCATTTGCAGTATCCACAAAGCATATCTGACAGCTCACCTCGGGCCGACGCTCTAGGACATATTTTTTCATAGGGTTCCTACATCTTTAGAGCGAAATTGGCTCCCGCGCGCTTCTCAAAACGACCACGGCAAGCCACGTTTTGGGCTTCCCTGAAGGTCTCAGTTCATAGGGCCTTGGACAGGCCATCCTTAGCACGAGGCAATTGACAATTGGATTGCCACCCGGACCATCTATGGGCTCTTAGGCTATTAGGCTATTGTTGTTGAGTGAAACCTGGGATACAGTAAATTTAGGTGCATCTCTATCTACTACACTCCTGCCGCTGTTCGAATAGCCTTTCTTTGTGAGTATCATCGTGAGCATAGAGAGGGAGACAAGGCAGGATAAAAATTCCGCCTACAAAATCTGGTATTGATCCATTCAGGCAATAGATTCTCCAAAAGCAGTGAAAACACCAAAAGTCTGCCATTTGGTGGCCTTATTCTATCAACTTTGAAAGATCATGGACGCAACATGAGCCCTTTTTCACCTTGGTTCATCATCACAACAGGAATCCGACCCCCATAGTGCAGATGTTCCACGGAAATTAGCGCATAACAAATCGAACATATCCCACACAATGGGTGCACTTTTTTCATTGATCACACACCCATCCAACTGTAGATCCTGATCCTCAGATCTTCCATAACACAGCAGCGCTGCGAGGTTCCACGACTGGTTCCAACTGCACGAGTTGACACTGCGGTTGTGTCGAACGGCATGACTGCTATGTGTCACCCAATCCATATCCATATCCAGCCTTCCTTCTTGTTGTCACCTCACATGTAGACGATGGATACTGAATGCTAAGGTGACTAGAACAATTCATGTCCCCAAACGTTTCCCTTAGCAGAATCCAAAAGAATGGTAGCCCTGGAGTAAAGTAACATAGACCTTGAACATCTCCAATTTTTAGTGGAAACTAATCTTCCTACCCCCGAATCA